TTTTTTTGTTTTCATATGATTTTCTCTTCGGGTTTATGAATTTTTTATTTTTTTTTATGTTTACAGTGGGAGTATGGAAGGCAGCCACAAGGTATAACGGGTATATTCTGATGCAGCTCGTTGGAAATTGAACTCTCTCTATGGAATTCAAATGGGCCAAAAGCAATGACACATATCCGTGTGGTCAAATGAGAATTGCTTTTATGTTTGGCCTAGACTCGCAACTCAGCCTCAAGTGGGAATCACTAGACTACCACCACTTGGTTCTCTCTCTATGTTTTTTTTTTTTCTTTTCTTATTTGCAGCAATATTTATACAATGGGTACGTTTGAAGTTGATTGGAATACTTTCCCCTGTGTAATATTTGATCAGTTGTATAATATCTTCGGTTTTAATCAAACCAGATTGCTCTCTGGATGTCACTTGTTTATCTAAAATATGGGAAGTTGTATCTCTTTATCGATATCATGTGATCATTGTGCTCTGATGTTTAATCCAAGTTTCACAACTAGAAGACATAATAAGCAAAGAGAAAGCTTGTATAAGTAAAGTTTTTAGGCTTATCTGGTGTACCGGAGCTGAAGAACATCTACTGGAGTCCATTACCTTTTCTCTGTTTGAAGAAAACTCACTCTTCTTACATTCATCAGTAAAGGGTTAGTTTATCATATGGTCTAATGGAAGCTGTGTTCAATTCCAAAGCATTTGAACATTTGCAATCTTATGAATATAGTTTGTACATTGATCAATAGAGGCATTCTGATACAAAGCAAAGATATAATTTGATTTTACAAAATCTCATCTTTTGGTTGATATGTACAAAGAGAAATCTTGGTAAGCTTGATCAACCAAGTGATGATCTTCCCATTCGTCTCTATAACTCTCCGGATGTTTCATCTTCCTCAAGAAAATAGGCAAACTCATCTCTTTCCTCCACTCCTCTGTTCCTGAGCACCCAATTTGTGAACCCAACCAATCATAGTACTCAAACTGTCAAACAAACAACACAAAAGTAAACAACATTTAACATGTTTTCGTTTGGATTTGGTCGCACAAGGAGAAACATAAGTTACAGAGACTCTTCTTACTTGGTCAATCCCCAAACAGTGCGTAAATCGCTTAGGAATCCCCAAGCCTTCAAATGTGGCCTTCATGGTTTTGGTTTCCCGACCCGACAAAATACCCGAGATCCACTTGCTTTGCAGCTCAAACATAGGAAATGGTAAAACCTGAAAGATCCAAATTTGATAAGAAAAAAAAACTTGAGAGGAATGATATAGAGCTTTTGTACCCTATATGGTATCCCGACGAAGGAGAGCGACGGTGCTAATGCTGGAGGAAAGACATGTTTGTACAATGGTCCAACACAGTTATCATCAACAGTAACTTCTCCATTGGTTTCAAGAAACGGAAAATGATACTTATAACCAGTGCAATGCATTATAACATCACCCAAAACCGTTTTCCCGTTCTGAAAAACCGCAGAACCATCCTCATGGACACGCTCAATCTGCATAAAGATTCAAGAAAACGTTTCAAGAACTGTTGTTCATCTCTCGATCGAACCAACGGTAAGTAGTAGCGAAACTCACCATTGAATGCATCCATATGTTAGTGTAACCGTTCTGCTTGATAAAAGTATCAGCTGGATTTGACCAAGAAGCCACATGAACCTCTTTGGCAAACCCGGAAATGTCTCTGCTTATGTCAACAGCACTCGCAGAGCTTCCAATAACCACAACAACCTATGATTCAAAATGTATCACAATTCTCTTCTCCACCATGAAAATGAATCATTATATCTGAAATTTTGAAAATAAAATTGAGTACCTGATCTTTGAATGGTGAAGGAAGACGATAGTTATGGCTATGCATCTCCTTCCCTGGCCAACAACTTATCCCTAAAATGATTCAATGTTTTTATGAAGTTTCTATTTTTCAAATCCGATCCTAAGTTTTTCGATGGAGCAAGCTTTACTATGGAGAATCGAGATGTTGAGAATTTACCAGGAATTTCAGCGAGACGAGGTTCAATGTAATGTCCATTACAAACAACAACTGCATCGTAAATCTCATCGCGATGAATTTTCTTCTCCTTCTCTGTAGATTCGATTCTCCATTTTCCGATTCCTTCTCCGCCGTCGCTTTCCGCCGCCGGAGAAACGCGCACGACCGTCGTCTCGAACCGGATCAGCTTCTCGATGCCAAACTCCTTAGCGAAATCCTGCAGATACGCTAGAACTTCAGGGTGACTCGGAAACCTTCTCGGATCAATTGATTCGGATCGGATCGCGAATGGGAAGTCTCTGAATCCCATACATTCTCGAGGAAGGTTAGTTCGGAGAGAGCCATACACGCTCGAGTGAACGACGATTCGGGTCGGGTCGACGCTTAACTGATCGGACTCGACGTGATCGGTGTAGATCCAGGTTCCTCCGACCTGTTTCTGCCTCTCGAAAACGACGACGGAGTGACCTTCTCGTCGAAGCTCTCTCGCCGCCACTAGTCCGGCGGCTCCAGCTCCGATTACAGCCACGTGGCGTGATTTGATTGATGACGAAGATGCCATATGGGTTTTTACGAGATTCGGTAATTAAAATGGCCCACCAAAGTTGCTTCGACCGACGGATCAAATTTTTTATCAAAACCAGAACTAAACCGGGTTTAATGTATGGACAAATAAGATAATATCAGTGTAATGGAGCAATTAGACACTTTCCTAATGTATAAATTAGAACAGAGCAAATTTTTTTTTAATTTGTTGGTGTATCAGATATTTAAGCTTTAATGATAAGGATCTCTTTCCTAACACCAAATAACCCAAATAACACCTTTCAGCTTTCAGCTTTCAGCCTTGTGCCAATCGGTTTAGTTCCTTATATTTCTTCATCATGCGAATGAGTTGTTATATTATTCTACGTACATGTGTAACATGTTTTACTTCTGATAAAACCCTACGTTAGTTTACGTTCATTAGGGTGAACGATGATGGACCTTAAGGCGGCGACGAAGAGGCAAGCTGATATTGCAACATGGGTCTTGTGGGACCTAAGCAGGTGTCCTGTTCCCTCCGACGTTGATGCTCGTCGTGTGGGTCCGTTTATAAGACGGGCATTGAAGAGTTTAGGTTACAACGGTAATCTCACCATCACCGCCATTGGCATACTATCACAAGTCCCTATTGACGTCCTTCGAGCCCTCTCTTCCACTGGGATCAACCTTCATCACGTCCCCACCATGTGTAAGTGTTTTAGATTCAACTCTCTTTACCTTTTTTCCTTGCTTTTGGTGTGTTTTTACAGAGTCTTAAGTATTGTTTTTTCTGGAACAGATAACAAATCTATTATGACTAGTGTGTACATGTGGAAGTCGGATAATTCGCCTCCGGCTAATGTCATGCTCATATCCCTTCAGAGGATCTTCGGTCAGTTTATTGCCGATCTATCGGAGAAATACTACGTTCTTGGCTCAAAAGTTCCATATGATCGTCAACTAGAGCCCACCGTCTTCGCTAGGCGTGCAGGGTGCTTCCTCTGGGAAAGCTTACTCGCGAGCTTACGTGCAGGTGTGTTCCTCTCTCTCTCTCTCTCGCTCTCTCTCAAACACACACCAAATTAAGCTCTTTTTTGTTTTGTTTTTTTTCTCCAACAGAGGCCAAGAAGGAGTGCAGTGGAACAACGGGTAAAACTACATTTTATTGCTCAGGATGCTGTCTTGGTCTCTTAGGCTTTGAAAGTTTCACCAAGCATATCCTCAGTAAAGAACATGCACTTGAAGTAAGCATCTATCCCCAAAAGAAACCTTGTCATTGTCTAACTACATATTTGATTCTTTCCCATTCTCACTTGTTAATTTTCTCTTTTGCTTGTCAAGCAGGAGTTGGATTATTACCCTGGAGGAGTTGAGGCTGGCAATGAATCTCGTGCTCGCAAGGAGGATGCTGCTGCCATTCTAGTAAGGCTACAAGGTTTTAGAGAGGCCAGAAGACTTGAAGAAGAAGAAGAAGAAGCCAAGTACAAAAAAGAAAGACTTGAAGATCCTTATTATGATGAAGAATATGACTATGAAGCAGAAGCAGAGTAGCGTGTGGCGTAATGGGATCTTGTTCTTCTCTAAGGCATTTTCATATTGTTAAATATGGTTTGTTTTACTCTTAGCGCCAGATTTTTAACTGATAATACCTAGTGCTTATTCATTGTTGATTCAGAGGTACACCACCTTTATAGAGAATTAACTTACCGTATAGTCTTAGATATTATATCATCTTTTGGTTGATATATACAAAGGCAAGTCTTGGTTAGCTTCATCAACCAAGTGATGATCTTCCCATACATGAACGTGTTTTCGTTTGAATTTGGTCTCACATGGAGAAACATAATTTACAGAGATTCTCACTTGGTCAATCCCCAAACAGTGTGTAAATCGCTTATGAATTCCTATAAGGCTTCAAATGTGGCATACTGTAAATGGTTTTGATCAAATATTCGATTGGGGACTGAATAATCACGCTTATCATTAAAAGCTTATTGTAACAAGGATTAAGGATTAAATATTAAGTCTTCTTCGTCTTTGGTTTGCCATGGAGAGCGACTTTGTGATTAGTATGTCCCACCAAAGTCAACAACCAAAATGTGTGAACGTGAGAATTATGGATATCAAATAAGCAAACATTTCCAAGAAAAATCAGTGATTTGGACTCACTTGGTCGAGAATTGTGGACGTGAAAGAAAGTCTTATCTTCAATTATTCTCTGCATTGTCTCTGGTTTGCTCATATCAGCAAATTTCAGATTTCAGATTTCTCCCTTTCTGTAAAATGGGGAATTTAATCCTTGCTCGATATCCTGTGATGGTGGATGGATAAAATCTCTCAATGGCTAGACAAGAAAGTTGGTTATATTCACGATCTTGAGAAGAATCTCGCCACTCTGGAGAACAGCATGGAAGCTCAAGGCTAAGCGGAATGATTTATTACGAAAGGCCACAAGAGAGGAGGATAAAGGTGGACAAAGGCTGGAAGAATTCCAGGTATGGCTTAAGAAAGTTGAGTCTTTGGATCAAAAAGTTGATGCTCTTCTTGATGCTAGAGATGTTCAACTTCAAAGGTTGTGTCTTTGTGGGTTTTGCTCTAAGAGTTTAAGATCCAGTTACCGTTACGGGAAAAAGGTTTTCTTGTCGTTGATAGGATGTTGAGGAACTCGAAAATAGAGTTTTCCAAAATGTTACTGATCAAGTAGTTAATAAAGCTGACACAGCTGTGATAGAGGAAATACAAGTTCCACGATAATTGTTGGTCAAGAAGCAATGCTCGATAAGGCATGGAAACATCTCATGAAAGATGGAGTTGGTATTATGGGTATGTATGGTATGGGCGGAGTTGGGAAAACAACGCTTCTCATGCAAATCAACAATAAGTTCAGTGAAGAAAGGTGTGGATTTGATTTTGTGATTTGGGTTGTGGTGTCTAAAGAGTTACATGTAGAGAAGATTCAAGATGAAATCGCTCAGAAAGTTGGTCTTGATGGAGAGAAGTGGGAGAAAAAAAAGAAGAGCCAAAAGACCATTGATTTATACAATTTCTTGAAGAAAAAGAGATTTGTGTTGTTTTTAGATGACATATGGGAGAAGGTGGATTTAACAGAGATTGGAGTCCCATTTCCAGCACCAGAAAACCGATGCAAAGTAGTCTTCACCACTCGTAAACAAGGTGTATGTTCGGAGATGATGGCTGAAGAACAATTGGAAGTCCAATGTTTGGCGGAAATTGAAGCATTTGATTTGTTCCAAAAGAAGGTTGGACAAAAAACACTTAGGACAGCGATCCAGAGATCCCCAAGCTTGCAAAAGACGTTGCTAGAAAATGTGGTGGCCTTCCATTGGCGCTCAATGTCATAGGGGAGACCATGTCATGCAAGAAGACGGTGGAAGAATGGCGTCACGCTATAAATGTTTTGACTTCGTACGCTACAGAGTTTTCTGGCATGGAAGATAAGATCCTTCCACTTTTGAAGTATAGCTACGATAATCTTAAGGGCGAGGATGTCAAATCATGTTTGCTGTATTGCGCTTTATTTCCAGAAGATGATCTGATTTCTAAAAAGTATTTGATAGACTACTTGATAGGCGAAGTATTATAGATGGAAGTGAAGGTATAGAGAGGGCCAGATACAAGGGGTATGAGATTATTGGTGATCTTGTTCGTGCATCTTTGTTGATGGAAGATGCTGAACAATATGGAACAGAATGTGTGCGTATGCATGATGTTGTTCGCGAAATGGCATTGTGGATTGCATCTGAATTGGGAAGAGAAAAGGAGGCTTTCATTGTGCATGCAGGTGTAGGGTTAAATGAAATTCCAAAGGTTAAGAATTGGAACAGTGTGAGAAGAATGTCACTGATGAAGAACAAGATTCGCAATCTAGCTGGCAGTCCTGAATGTCTCGAACTCACAGCTTTTCTCATGCAACGGGGAGAATTGGTAAATATCTCGAGTGAATTCTTCAAGTCCATGCCGAAGCTACAGGTGTTGGATCTATCATTTAATGAACATCTCACCAAAGTGCCGGATGGAGTATCTGATTTAGTTTCTTTGAAGTATCTCAACTTGTCAGATACAGGTATCCGTCATCTCCCTAAGGGTCTACAAGAGTTGAAAAAACTCATTCACTTGAATCTCGAGCATACACTTCAGCTTTCGAGTATTGCTGGGATATCAAATCTGCATAATTTGATGATCTGAAATTAGCTGGAAGTGGCTTTTCATGGGATCGCGGCATAGTGGAGGAATTAGAAACCTTGGAGCATTTAGAAATTTTAACCCTAGAAATCCATTGTCCACCACATCTGGAGCTATTTTTTAGTTCTCTCAGGTTGACGAGTTGTACACGATTTCTGGAGATCTTGAAATTGGAATCAACTGGAATAGCAATTCCAGTGAACCATGAACAAGCTTCGTTATTTCATCATTACGAACTGCACTATCCCTGAGATAAAGATGGGAAGTATATGCAACAAAAGCAATATGGTTTCTCCTATACACAATCCGAGCGAGCCATGCTTCTTGAGCCTCTCCAAAGTGTATATAAATAAATGCCGAGGCCTGAGGGAGCTGACGTTGCTGATGTTTGCTTCAAATCTTAAAGAACTTGAAGTTAGGTATTCAGATCAACTAGAAGATATAATAAACAAAGAGAAAGCTTGTGAAGTTGAAGAATCAGGGATTGTTCCTTTTGCAAAGCTGGTTTCTCTTTATTTGCGGAGTCTACCCAAGCTAAAGAATATCTATTGGAATCCTCTACGCTTTCCATGTCTAAAGATATTCAATGTAATCGAATGTCCAAATCTGAAAAAGCTTCCATTGGATTCTCAAAGTGGCATACATGGTGAAAATAGACTCGTCTTAGGATACAGAGAGGAAAGTTGGATTGAAGGTGTTGAATGGGAGGACGAAGCTACAAAAACTCGCTTCTTATCTTCATGAAAATTGGTATAATTTCTCGTATTATCTTATTTCTTTTCATATGATTTTTTTTCTTCGGGATATGAACCGCTTCCATTTTCTTATGCATCTGTCTTTTTGTTTATGGTACATGTTCAGAGTGTTTCTTGGAAATATAGCGAGGAGGAGGATTCAAGCGACGAGGAAGTTGAAGATGTCATTTGCCTTTAATCAAAAGAGAAGCTTTTCTTTCTCTTCTCTTCTCTGTCTCTCACTCTCTCAAATCTCTACCACTCATTGTGTGTTGCTGTCTGTGTGCTTTTTTCTGTCTTATTTTTTATCAACATTTATACAATGGTTACGTTTGAAGTCGATTGTAATGTTTTCATATGCCATATACATTGTTTCAGTGCGTACACAAACCAGTTAGCTGGTCTTATGCAGGATATGCAAGCACCTTTTTATTCTTGTCCCATATAATATTATATATTTGCCAACACGATGATCAATGAATTATGTTTACTATAATGATCTAATATAATAGTCAGATGGGGGAGGGAGTCTATCAAGTAAGCTGGAAAATTGATTTGATTATATTGGGAGGTTAGCGTATCAAGTCTACTTGATTTGAAAGTATTGAGACTGCAGAGGTTCTGGTGTTTCATTAGATCTCAACACGGTGGAGGAGTTACAAGTCTTGGCAAGATTAGAGATATTAACCATAGGAATTAGGTTATATGATTCAGGTTTGGTTCAGTTCTCAAGCTCTCATAGGATGATGAGCTGTACACGAAATAGAAGCTTTCATCTTTATTTTACAATATACAAAGAGAAATCATGGTTAGCTTGAGCAACCAAGTGATGATGATCTTCCCATTCATCTCTATACGTCTCCGGATTCTCCATCTTCCTCATGAAACTCATCAAGAACATCTCTTTCCTATATTCCTCTGTTCCTGAGCACCCATATTCTGAAGCCAACCAATCATTGTACTCAAACTGTGACAAAAAGAACAACACACACCAAAAATTACAAATAAATCTGTGTCCGTGTTGGCTTTCAACATGTTAAGAGACTCTTGCTTACATGGTTGATGCCCAAAGAGTGAGTATATCGCTTAGGAACCCCTTCCCCTTCAAGTCTTGCATACAAGGTTTCGATTTCCATTAACATATCTTCCTTTGAAGGAAGCATGATCCGACGAGACAAAACACCCGCAATCCACTTGCTTTGCAGCTCAAACATAGGAAACGGTAGAGGAGATAACCTGCAAAAAAATCCAAACTTGTTTATAGACTTCAAAATCCGAACCGTAACAAGCAGATAACCAAAGCTATGCCGATTTAGAGCTTTTGTACCTTACATGGTATCCCGGCGAAGGAGAGCCACGGCGCTAATAGTGGAGGGAAGATGTGTTTGTACAATGGACTAACACAGTTATCATCTACAGTAACACTTCCATTGGTATCAAGAAATCTTGCAGATACGCTAGAACTTCACCGTGACTCGGGAACCTCCTCGGAACTCTGGATTCGCCGGATCGGACCATGAATGGGAAGTCTCTGAATCCCATACATTCTCGATGAAGGTTAGTTCGGAGAGAGCCATAGACGCTCGAGTGAACGACGATTCAGGTCGGATCGACGCTTAACGGATCCGACTCGACATTATCGGTGTAGATCCAAGTTCCTCCCACCTTTCTGCCTCTCGAAGACGACGACAGAGTGACCTTCCCGTCGAAGCTCTCTCGCTGCCACTAGTCCGGCGGCTCCAGCTCTGATTACGGCCACGTGGCGTGATTTGATTGATGGTGCCATTTTTTAAGAGATTATGAATGATTCTTGGGTCACTCACTCAAGCCATGGCGATTCTGTCGTCAAAGTGGCCCACCTAAGATTATTAACGTTTCTATCCAAACCGGAACTAAACCGTATAAACTTGAACAGAGCACGTTTGTTTTTAATCTGTTGGTGTATCGGATAGTTAAGCTTAACCAATATCTCTTTCCCAGAAAAATTAATTTTGAGTCTATTTCTAGGACAAAAACGTAAAAATAGTTCATTTTAGAGATTTGTCTTTATCAATATCATGAAGAAGAAGAGTAGCACGTGGCATATATGCTGTTGTTCTTCGATCTCTAAGGCATTTTCATATGGTTATATATGGTTAGTTATACTCTTAGTGGCAAATTTATTGTTAACTGTTGATAATCAAAGCCAGAGAGAAGTGGGCGTGTCTCTCGAGTTATCTTATATGATCAAATACCTAAATTGTCAGTGGAAAATAAAATTTTGATGCATTACTCAAGAAGGTTGTTAAGATGTGTATATTCTTTGTTGATGCTAGCTGTTTAGGATCTATCGCAGAATCAAAATCTCTCTGAATCGTAGGAGAATGATGCTTTTAACTGTAATGTTATTTGCAATCTCTTCCTGAATATATTTTACTTGTCAATCACAAAAAAAGAGAGGTAATCAAGAGATCATGAATTCATTTATTTATTTATTTTTAATTAGGGTAAGTGCTACGTAGGAGCTAAAATTATACACTACTTATGACTATTTATAACTATGCATATCCTTGCGTGGCCAAGAAGTTATCCTGAGTCGGAAACCTCCTCAGATGTATTCGACGGCGAGCCGGGTCAACGCTTAACGGATCCGGGTTGACATGATTGAGGTTTCTGTTTCTGGACAGGCTCTTGAAGACGACGACCCAGTGACTGTGACGTTCCCGTCGACGCTCCGGCGGGTGATATTAGAAGCGTGGTGGGATTTGGGTTTTACGTGAGTCTCAAGTTTTCTTCTTCAGTCAACAACAAGGGGATGCCCATCTTTGCAGATGTCCCACCAAAGTCAACAACCGTTATTTTGGAAATTAATTATCAACGAGATTCTCAAGTGTACTTTTCCTGCGGTTAGCCATGGAGAGACTTTGTGAATTGAGATTAGTATGTCCCACCAAAGTGTACAACCAAGTGTGTGATGGAAATCAAATAAGTACAATTTCCAAGAAAATTCAATGATTTGGACTCACTCGATCGAAGAATTGTGGACGAGAAAGAAAGTCTTCTCTTCGATTATTCTCTGCTTCTTCTCTAGTTTTGATCAGATCAGTAAAATTCTCAAATCTAAGATCTCTCTTCCTTTCTGCATCTCTTTCTCCATACCTTGTGATCCTTGTATCAATAAAATTTCTAACTGGCTTGACGAGAAAGTAGCTTGTATACATAACCTGGAGAAGAATCTCACGGCTCTGGTGACATCCATGGAAGAGCTCAAGGCTAAGCGTGATGATCTGTCAAAAAGGGTCACAAGAGGGGAGGATAGAGGTCAGCAAAGGCTTGCCGAAATCGAGGTATGGCTTAATAGAGTTGCAAGTATTGAAAAAAGAGTCAGTGATCTTCTTAGTGCTAGAGATGATGAGCTTCAAAAGCTGTGTCTTTGTGGGTTTTGCTCTAAGAGTTTAAGATCGAGTTATGGTTACGGGAAAAAAGTTTTCTTGACGTTAAAGGAGGTTGAGACACTCCATAGTAGAGAATTTGAAGTGATTGTTGAGGAAGCTCAAACACCTCGGATGGAAGAAAGACCTCTTCAACCCACAATTGTTGGTCAAGAAACGATGCTTCAAAAGGCATGGAAACATCTCATGGAAGATGGAGTTGGAATGATGGGTTTGTATGGTATGGGCGGAGTAGGGAAGACCACACTTCTCACACAGATCAACAATAAGTTCAGCGACGTAAGTAGTGGATTTGATTTTGTGATATGGGTCGTGGTGTCTAAAGAGTTACATGTAGAGAAGATTCAAGATGAAATTGCTGGGAAAGTTGGTCTTGATGGATTTTTGTGGGAGATAAAAGATAAGAATAAAAAAGGCGTACGTTTGTACAATTTCTTGAAGAAAAAGAGATTTGTGTTGTTTTTAGATGACATATGGGAGAAGGTGGATTTAACAGAGATTGGAGTCCCGTTTCCAACAACACAAAACGGATGCAAAGTTGCCTTCACCACTCGTTCCCAAGAAGTATGTGATCGGATGGGGGTTGAAGACCCAATGGAAGTCCAATGTTTAGCGGACAATGAAGCATTTGATTTGTTCCAAAAGAAGGTTGGACAAAGAACATTAGGAAGCCATCCGGAGATCCCTGAACTTGCAAGAATAGTTGCTAAAAAATGTTGTGGCCTACCATTGGCACTCGATGTCATAGGGGAGACCATGTCATGCAAGAGGACGATACAAGAATGGCGTCACGCGATAGATGTTTTGACTTCGTACGCTATAGAGTTTTCTGGTATGGAAGATAAGATCCTTCTCCTTTTGAAGTATAGCTACGATGACCTTAAGGGTGAGGATGTTAAATCATGTTTGTTGTATTGCGCTTTGTTTCCAGAAGATTATAATATTGATAAAGAAGAATTGATAGACTACTTGATAGGCGAAGGTATTATAGATGGAAGTGAGGGTATAGAGAGGGCTGAGAACAAGGGGTATGAGATAATTGGTGATCTTGTCCGTGCATCCTTGTTGATGGAAGAAGTTGGAACAGAACAAGTGCATATGCATGATGTTGTTCGCGAAATGGCCTCGTGGATTGCATCTGAACTGGGAAGAGAAAAGGAGGCTTTCATTGTGCATGCAAGTGTTGGGTTAAGTGAAATTCCAAAGGTTAAAAATTGGAATGTTGTGAGAAAGATGTCACTGATGAAGAATAAGATTCGCAATCTCGATGGCAGTCCTGAATGTCTCCAACTCACAGCTTTTCTCATGCAACATGTGGGCGTGTTGTGGCATTGAGAGAAGTGGGCGTGTCTCTCAAGTTGTCTTATATGATTAATACCTAAATTGTCTGTGGAAAATAACATTTTGATGCATCACTCAAGAGTTGCTGAGCATGTGCATAATCTTTGTTGATACTAGGTGTTTTGGATCTATCGCAGAATCAAAATCTCTATGAATTGCAGGAGAAGGAATGCTTTAAAGTGTAATGTTATTTATGATATTTGATAAATGCGACACTGATCTTTGAATGTTTCAAGGATACGCTAATTATTATGACTTTGCATCTCCTTCCTTGGCCAAGAAGTTATCCCTACGTCGGAAACCTCATCAGATCTCTGTATTCGAAGATGCCGGGTCGGATCAGGTCTACACTTAACGGATCCGGGTTTACATGATCATGATGGATGTTTCTGTCAAAGCTCTGGTGGATTTGGGTTTTACGTGAGTCTCAAGTTTTCTTCTTCAGTCAACAATGGATACTATATCATTATGTCCCACCAACGTCAACAACCGTTATTATGGAATTAATTATCAAAGGAAGTTAATTATCAGGAATTCAGGAGATGAGAGGTTCAATTAATTATCAACGAAGATACTCAAAGTGTTCTTCTTGTTCCGTGATTAGTAGTATGTCCCACCAAAGTCAACAACCAAATGTGTGAATATGAGAATTATGGAAATCAATAAGCACAAATTTCCAAGAAAAATCAGTGATTTGGACCCACTCGATCGGAGGATTGTGGAGGAGAACGAAAGACTTATCTTCAGACTTCAATTATTTTTGCATCTTCCTCTGGTTTTGCTTAGATCAATAAAATTTCTCAAATCTAGATCTCTTTTCCTTTCAGCAAAATGGGCAACCCTTTCTCGATACCTTGTGATCCGTGTATAAATAAAATCTCTAACTGGATTGACAGAAAGTAGGTTATATACATAATCTAGAGGTGAATCTCACGGCTCTGGTGACACCATGGAAGAGCTCAAGGCTAAGCGTGATGATTTGTCAAGAAGGGTCACAAGAGAGGAGGATAGAAGGTCAGCAAAGGCTTGCCGCAATCGAGGTATGGTTTAATAAAGTTGCAACTATCGAAAAAGAAGTCAGTGATCTTCTTGTGCTAGAGATGTTCAACTTCAAAAGTTGTGTCTTTGTGGGTTTTGCTCTAAGAGTTTAAGATCCAGTTACCGTTACGGGAAGAAGGTTTTCTTGACGTTGAAGGAGGTTGAGGAACTCATAGTAAAGAATTTGAAGTACTGAGCAAGCTCAAACATCCGAGGTGATGGAAAGACAAGTTCAACGTACAATTGTTGGTCAAGAAACAATGCTCGACAAGGCATGGAAACATCTCAAGGAAGATGGAGTTGGTATTATGGGTATGTATGGTATGGGCGGAGTAGGAAAAACAACGCTTCTCATGCAAATCAACAATAAGTTCAGTGAAGAGAGGTGTGGATTTGATTTTGTGATTTGGGTTGTGGTGTCTAGAGAGTTACATGTAGAGAAGATTCAAGATGAAATCGCTCAGGAAAATTGGTCTTGGTGGAGTGGAGAAAAGCCAAAAGGCCGATCTGTTATACAATTTCTTGAAGAAAAAGAGATTTGTGTTGTTTCTAGATGACATATGGCAGAAGGTGGAATTACCTGAGATTGGAGTCCCGTTTCCAACAACGCAAAACGGATGCAAAGTGGTATTCACCACTCGTTCCCAAGATGTATGTGCGCGCATGGGGGTTGAAGACCCAATGGAAGTCAATGCTTGGCGAAAATGAAGCATTTGATTTGTTCCAAAAGAAGGTTGGACAAAGAACATTAGGAAGCGATCCGGAGATCCCTGAGCTTGCAAAAAAGTTGCTAGAAAATGTGGTGGCCTACCATTGGCGCTCAATGTCATAGGCGAGACCATGTCATGCAAGAGACGGTGGAAGAATGGCGTCACGCGATAGATGTTTTGAATTCGTACGCTAGAGTTTTCTGGCATGGAAGATAAGATCCTTCCGCTTTTGAAGTATAGCTACGATAATCTTAAGGGGAGGATGTCAAATCATGTTTGCTGTATTGTGCTTTATTTCCAGAAGATGAGAAAATCTGATAAAGAATTGATAGACTACTTGATAGGCGAAGGTATTATAGATGGAAGTGAAGGTATAGAAAGGGCTGAGAACAAGGGGTATGAGATAATTGGTGATCTTGTTCGTGCATCTTGTTGATGGAAGAGGAGAGGATGGAACAAGAGAAGTGGTGCGTATGCATGATGTTGTTCGCGAAATGGCATTGTGGATTGCATCTGAATTGGGAAGAGAAAAGGAGGCTTTCATTGTGCATGCAGGTGTAGGGTTAAGTGAAATTCCAAAGGTTAAGAATTGGAACAGTGTGAGAAGATGTCACTGATGAAGAACAAGATTCGCAATCTAGCTGGCAGTCCTGAATGTCCGAACTCACAACTTTTCTCATGCAACGGGGAGATTTGGTAAATATCTCGAGTGAATTCTTCAAGTCCATGCCGAAGCTACAGGTGTTGGATCTATCATTTAATAAAATCTCACCAAAGTGCCGGATGGAGTATCTGATTTAGTTTCCTTGCAATATCTCAACTTGTCACATACTGGTATACGTCATCTCCCTAAGGGTCTACAAGAGTTGAAAAAACTCATCACTTGGATCTCGGTTATACACATAGCTTTCGAGTATTGCTGGGATATCAAATCTGCATAATTTGATGATACTGAATTTAGCTGGAAGTGGCTTTTCATGGGATCGCGGCATAGTGGAGGAATTAGAAACCTTGGAGCATTTAGAAATTTTAACCATAGACATCGATGTGTATCCACCTCTGGAGCTATTTTTAGCTCTCATAGGTTGACGAGTTGTACACGATTTCTGGGATCTCGAAATTGGAATCAACTGGAATAGCAATTCCAGTAACCATGAACAAGCTCGTTATTTCAGCATTAGACTGCACTATCTCTGAGATAAAGATGGGAAGTATATGCAACAAAAGCAAGACGGTTTCTCCTCTACACAATCCGAAGAGCCATGCTTCTTGAGCCTCTCCAAGTGTATATAAATTGCAGCCTGAGGGAGCTGACGTTGCTGATGTTTGCTTCAAATCTTAAAGAACTTGAGTTAGGATGCAGATCAACTAGAAGATATAATAAACAAAGAGAAAGCTTGTGAAGTTGGAGAATCAGGGATTGTTCCTTTTGCAAAGCTGGTTTCTCTTGTTGGAGAGTCTACCGAAGCTAAAGAATATCTATTGGAGTCCTCTACGCTTTCCATGTCTAAAGGATTCTGTGTAAGAATTGTCCAAATCTGAAAAAGCTTCCACTGGATTCTCAAAGTGGCATGCATGGTGAAAATGGACTCGTCTTAGATACAAAGGAGGAAAGTTGGATTGAAGGTGTGGAATGGGAGGACGAAGCTACCAAAACTCGCTTCTTATCTTCTTCCAAATTGGTATAATTTTCGTATTCTCTTATTTGTTTTCATATGATTTTTCTTCGGGTGTATGAACTGCTTCCATTTTTTTAATGCCTCTGTCTTTTTGTTTTTGTTACAGTATAGATGATGAGCCACATATAACAGGTATCTCTGATGCAGCTCCTTGGAAGTTGTAGATGCCATTTGCCTTTGTTCCAAAAAGCTTTTCTCTCTTCTCTTCTCTCTAAATCACTATCACTCTGTGTGTGTTGCTCTCTGTGAGTTATATTTTCTTATATGCATCAACATTCATACAATGGTTCCGTTTGAAGTTTTCTGCTGTGTAATATTTTCCGTTGACTTTAATCAAACCAAATTGCTCTATGGATCTCTCTTGTTTGTCTAAAATATGGGAAACTAGTTTGTTTTGGATATGTTGTATGTCAGAAATCTCTCGGAGAATCTACAAGGAATATCAGAGCATTTGCAATCTGATATCACCCCATCGCCGCTGCCGCAATCGTGGACATGAATCATGTTTCATATGCAAATTAGAAAACAAAGTACGATACACACAACACGGGTAATTAGAATACATCATAACAAATTTTTTAAATTCTTAATTTACTGTAACGAAGGTTAAAGAAAGAGAAGTTAGATCCGAATCCTTCAATAAAATTTACAGGAAATTATGAACAATCAGTTATGAAAAAATCATCTTATTTTGATTTTCAGTATTGCTATCTATTTATATAAGATATAGTCGGTAAAGAAATCTAGGTTTTTTTTTTCTTTCCATTTTTTTTTTTAATTCTTACATAACTGTGGTGCATAATATGGTAGTTAGGATTATTATGGTAAATTTATTGAAACCTTCTCACGAGATCAGCCTTGAATACGTCATAATCTTCCCATAATTATTGGACCATACCTCATTGTTGAGGAATCAGTCTCTCCTGAATAGTTTTCTCGTTTCATATACCATTATTTGATAATGATTGGCCAAATAAAGTGACACAGATCAAATAAAAGCAAATGTAATCAAAACATCCATCTTCTAGTTTAAAGCTATAGTAAAATTATTCTGTAATAAATCTGTTTTTGAAGCAAGTCATGCCTAGGCTAGCTCATTGATGCTGGCTTTCTTTCCTCTCTCAGCCTTCTCCTCAAATCATCTGTCTATAACGGAGAACGTGCCGATGCACATAATCCACGATATGTTACCTTGCCATGTAATCAGATAGTCTCAACATCAACACTTTCGAAGACCACCTCGTTCGTTCTCTTTCAACCGGTGAACCACCAAACACGTTACGCACCGAACATGATTGCAGTGTTTCCCACCACATCTCACGATCTTTTTCTTCCGATATTGCTACAACAACAGAAACGAAAACACTATTAAGCGTGTAAAGAAAGGAAGAGATCCACCAAAGTCAGGCTACGTTACATTTGTTCTCGTGAGACAACCCATAAAAGAAATCATCATTCTCGTGAATGGTTTAGAAGAAAAGATGAGATATGGACTCGAAGAAATTATCTCACCTCTAGGTTGAAGAATTGTGGATTGTTTTGATTTTCATTATTGCTCTATTTATATAAGATATAGTCGGTTAAGAAATCTAGTTTTTTTTTTTTTTTCCAATTTTTTTAGTTTTTACATAATTATGGCGCGCAATATAGTAGTTAGGATTATTATTATCGTTAAGTATTTTAATTAGAAACATAAATCGTGACATTTAAAAAAAAGGAAATAATGAAGATTTTAAAAAAAGATTTTTATTAAGGGTAGTTGGGTAATCAACCAGCTGAGAGTTAATGTGGTGCCTCTAAACGAAATTTTCACTTCGCAAATAATATATTAGATATCAGAGCATTTGCAATCTGAAGCATTGATATACGAATATTAATATAGTTTGTACTTTGTACATTGATCAATAAACGCATTGATCAAATCTTATTTGATTTTACATAATCTCATCTTTTGGAGAAATCTTGATAAGCTTGAGCAACCAAGTGATGATGATCTTCCCATTCATCTCTATACGTCTCCGGATTCTCCATCTTCCTCATGAAACTCGTCAAAAACATCTCTTTCCTCCACTCCTCTGTTCCTGAGCACCCATATTTGTGAAGCCAACCAATCATTGTACTCAAACTGTGACAAAAAGAACAACACACACCAAAAATTACATATTAATCTGTTTCCGTTTGGCTTTCAACATGTTAAGAGACTCTTGCTTACATGGTTGATGCCCAAAGAGTGAGTATATCGCTTAGGAATCCCTTCCCCTTCAAGTGTTGCATACAAGTTCTTGATTTCCATTAACATATCTTCCTTTGAAGGAAGCATGATCCGACCCGACAAAACACCCGCAATCCACTTGCTTTGCAGCTCAAACATAGGAAACGGTATAACCTGAAAAAAATCCAAATTTGTTTATAGACTTCAAAATCCGAACCGTAGCAGCAAGATAACAAAAGCTATGCCGATTTAGAGAAATGTGTACCTTACATGGTATCCCACGAAGGAGAGCGACGGTGCTAATGGTGGAGGGAAGATGTGTTTGTACAATGGACCAACACGATTATCATCTACAGTAACACTTCCATTGGTATCAAGAAACGAGAAGTCATACTTATACCTTTTAAAGCAAAAAGGAAAGAGCTTTCTTAAGTTTCAAGAAAAATCAGAGCATAAAGAACATGTGAATCTATCATTACCCAGTGCTATGCATTATCACATGAGCCAAAACCGTTTTCCCATTCTGAAAAACCACAGAACCATTCTCAAGGACACGCTCAATCTGCGTTTGGAGATTCAAGAAAAACATTATTACGGTAAGTAGTACTATACTACTACTCAGGAGCTAAACTCACCATTGAATGCATCCAGAGGTTAGGGTGACCAGTTTGTTTGATGTATGTATCAGCTGGATTTGACCAAGAAGCCACATGAACTTCTTTGGCAAATCCAGCAATGTCTCTGCTTATATCATCACCACTTGAAGAGTTCCCAATCAGCACAACAACCTATATAATCCATGCAATGCAGCACAGGCTTCACCATGAATCTTTTGCATAAGAATCTGACAATGATATTGAGTACCTGATCTTTGAAAGGTTGTGGAAGACGATAGTTATGGCTATGCATTAGTTTTCAAATGTTCAAATGAAGTTTCTGTTTTTGAAATGATTTCATAGAATCAATATGTTGAGAATTTACCTGGAATTTCAGCGAGACGAGGTTCAATGTAATGTCCATTACAAACAACGACTGCATCGTAAATCTCATCGCAATGAATTTTCTTCTCCTTCTCTGTAGATTCGATTCTCCATTTTCCGATTCCTTCTCCGCCGTCGATTTTCGCCGCCGGAGAACCACGCACAACAGTCGTCTCGAACCGGATCAGCTCCTCGATGCCAAATTCCTTACCGAAATCCTGCAGATACGCCAGAACTTCACCGTGACTCGGAAACCTCCTCTGATCTCTGGATTCGCCGGATCGGATCGCGAACGGGAAGTCTCTGAATCCCATACATTCTCGAGGAAGGTTAGTTCGGAGAGAGTCATAGACGCTCGAGTGAACGACGATTCGGGTCGGGTCGACGCTTAACTGATCCGACTCGACATGATCGGTGTAGATCCAGGTTCCTCCGACCTGTTTCTGCCTCTCGAAAACGACGACGGAGTGACCTTCTCGTCGAAGCTCTCTCGCCGCCACTAGTCCGGCGGCTCCAGCTCCGATTACAGCCACGTGGCGTGATTTGATTGATGTCGAAGATGCCATTTGGATTTTTGGGTCAAGCCATGGAGATTCGGTAATTAAAATGTAAAATGGATTTTAACCGGGTTTAATGTATGGAAAAATAGGAGAATTTTAGTGTCATGGAGCAATTAGAAACTTTCCTTATGTATAAATTGGAACAGTTTAAAAAAAAAAAAAAAACTTGTTTGTTTCTTGCATGATCTCCTTTACATTCATATTTTTGGTTTTTCTTCCCACTGTGTTTCCCATGTCCCTTTTGATCAAAAACTAAACCAAGTCTTCAGAGACTTGCTAGATTTTCATGTTTTTTTGTAGTTGTGATCTTGTGTTGAGATCAAGATTGATATGGCTGCACTATTTTTCTATGCAACAGTTGAAGCTCAAGGGATCCCAAAACGATATACTCATCAAATGGGGAATGCTCAAGTAAGAAACTCTTGAACTTATGATTTCGTCGCATAAACCGAAAAAGAACAGAACCAAACTAATGTCTTTTGTTGTTGTTTCACAGTTTGAATACAATAATTGGTTGGCTTCACAATGCGGATGCTCAGGAACAGAGGAGTGGAGGAAAGAGATGTATTTGACGACTGGTGTGAGAAAGAGAGCACATCCAGAGACGTATAGAGATGAGTGGGAAGATCATCACTTGGTTTCTCAAGCTTACCAAGATTTCTCTTTGTATGTATCAACCACCAAAAGATCAGATTTTATAAAATCAAATAAGAATATTGAATACTGGTTGTGTAAATGCCTTTTGCTTATGTATTGGAGAAGTTCTTTAAAGGGTAAAATGGCTATATTTTCAACCTTCTTGAGTGATGGATCAAAATGTTATTTTCCACAAGACAATTTGGTATATGATAAAAGCAAAGAGTGTGTTTGATTACACACACAAACACACTTTATTAACTGAAAAAACAAAGCTTTTGATTACACACATTCACTCTGCTTTCGAGATCATTTACAGGTTAAATTGAAACCCATGATGAATGAATCTGACTGTTTTTTTTTTTTATTATGAGTTTTTACAGGAAACATAAAGCTAGTAATAACTCATTCACTCTGTTTTTTTTTGTTTGCTTGCAAAGCCTTGTATTACACCTTTGCTCTGTTTATGAATTCAAAATCTGAAAACTCATCACCTAAACAGATAAAGAAGCTTGTACCTCCAATAGTAAGTCCAATTCGTGTTTTTTTGTGTGTGTGTGTGTGTGTGTGGGCATATCAATTAGAGGAGGATTACTACAATCCATGTTCCATATTAAATGATTTTTCTTGTTTTTTTTTTTATTTTCTAATGATCTAAATTTGTCAAACTTACGAATTTTGAATGTTGTTGTATTAAACAACACTCTCAAATCACATGGTACCTAAAAAAATGTGAATTTTTCAGACAAATGAAAAATATTTCAAGTATTTATAAGAGTTTTTCCTTAATAAAAAGACAAAATGGGTTTTGTGGTCTTACTAGCCTATGTTGGGGCGACCGAGGAGTCAAATATGATTCTTAAAGCAGTTTCATCCACCGGTTGGGATTGGAAAGATTTACGCCAGGAGGTTATATCGAATATTGCTATTGACTCATAAGTTGGATATTTCAGAAAATGTATTGATCTCATATTGTATTGGTGGGATTATGAAAATGCTCTGGGAGGAAATGGTTGCAGTGAAGAAACATCTTCACCTTGATACCATTCAACGCCTGAAGCAAACTCGCAAGAGCTAAAACATACTAGTATTGGGTTTATTCCTGCAGATCATATCGGATTTAAGGCTAGGGATGGCAAAATCCGTATAAGTTGATCAATATTTCAAATAAGTTGTTTGCAAAACATAAACTACAAACTGTGAGCACTAAACCAAGTTAACGGAAAGGTGAATATAAAAACACTTTAGTATGAGTCTCTCACTTTAATCAAGGTGTGTAACTAACGTTCTAAATTATCACGGAAACCAGATATACACTAGTAAATCAAACCGTATATCCGAATACTTTACAAGTTCTAAATTACAACATAAACAAAATATACATAAGTAAAACAAATAAATCCGAATACTTAACAATAACCTTTTGTTGGCCAAAAAGAAGTTAAAATTAATATACTGAATTTTGTAGTAATACGGGACATGAGATAGGGAGTGATCAATATTGGTAATGGCGAACATGTGTAACAAAAGATAATTTTGATGAAAATTTACTTGTAATATGCTGAATTTTTGCTTTTTCATATTTCTTCCATCTATCTTTGACAGAGAGGGCTCCCCTGTCTGTGCTAAGCTTTTCTTGTCTCTTTTTTTAATCCATATTTTCACGTTTTTTGTTTATTTCCTGGTGAGCACATATATTTCTTGTCTCTTTTACTCCCGAGGTATTCGAGGCAAACGCTTCTGCCCTTGATGCTAGAGGATTGGACAAAGTAAAAAAGAATTGAGGTCTACAATCCAGAGCTTTGAAATGCCTATTCAAAGGCACTCTTTCGACGTGTGGCCTCTATGATCAAGACTTGGATAAGGTATGTATTTTGTAGGTTAAATCTCTGTTAGATTGTTGACATACATAGGCTCTTAGGATCATGCGCTTCATTGGGTTTTATTGCATCAAACAACTTTTTAATGGTTAAAAGTTTAAACAGATAGAGACCAAAACGTGGGGCTAGCTTTTGTAACTTTTGGTGTGTTTCATAATTTATTTATTCAAATTTTATCTCATAAATTGATATTTGGATATATTTATTTTTAGTTACAAAATTTCTCACAAATCTCTGAAAACAGTTTTTTTATATACTTTGTTAATGAAATCCTAATTTTCCAGTTACCTTTAAATAATTTGTATAAATCATTATTCCAGTTACCTTAGATTTTGAATGATTTTTATAAATAATAGATCTAATAAGAGGTGATTTGGAAATAAATTGAAATCCTCCCAAATAACTAGTTAAATAAGTCCCTTAGTTGTTTGAAATTTATTTTATTATTTTTCTATTTTTTTTCATACATTTTAAATTAAGATTATGTGTTAACATATATGTCATCATCCAATTAGTACTAGACATATATCACAAACTAATATATTTTTCACTTTTATGATAAACTAGATTAGGTCCCGCGTACACGCGGGTTTATTAAACAAAATTTGATCACTTTTAGAATTCCTGATATGAAATAGAAAAACTTACGTGTGTCTAAATCTAATCGACTCATTAATTTATGAAACTTTGATTATTCCGATGATGAAATCTTTATTTTTAATATTGTTTTACATAAGAAAAAATGAAAACTAAACTATTTAATATTAGAATATCAGTCCATTATAAAATATTCTTTTTAATATTTTAGTTCTTGATAATTATTTTGTCGGTTCTCTATTTATATTGTTTCTTTTTCAATTTTTTTTTTGCCTCTAACCATTATAAATTTTCATTTTCATTATTAGTTAGTTGTTTTACAATTATTTTATTAGTTTATTTATTTATATTACTCCATTTTTCCAATTTTCTTTTATTGATACATGTCATCACCTGATCAAATATTAGACATGATTTTTTATTTCTTAATGAGAAAGAAACTATTTTAAATATAACTTGTTATATATTGTTTTTTGTTCCTTTTCTTAATGGGAATATATTTTTATTCCTTTTCTTACTGGATGTAATATTTGTTTAATTATTTCATAATGTTTTTCTGTTTTTTCGGTTTTTTTCCTTTTCATAATAGGATTATATTTTTTCTTTACTTTTCCAGTTTTCCTAATGGATGTAATATTTTTTCTAAAATTGGTTGTTTCCTTTTTTCTGATTTTTTTTTTTTTTTTTCTGATTTTTCCTAATGTACTAATATGATTGTATTTATTACATTATTTTGAATTTAATATGTGTTTAGATAATACAAATTTGATGAATGTGAAACCTTTTTCTATAAGTATATGACAAATATGATTTTTCTTTTAACTCTAATAGATAATTTTAGCTTTATATAATAAGATTGATATAAAAAAAAATTAAAAAAATATTGATTAGAATACAGTAATAACTTTTTCCTTTCTATGATTTTGTCCAATTATAAAACTGGATAAATGGACAATGGGAAATTAATAAATTAGACTACTGTAAAAATTTCTTCTTATTACTTGGTTAGTTACTTGATGATTATTTTGTTAATTTATTATTTTTAACTAAGTTTATGTGCTTACTTTTCCCTTTAATTATTAATTAATCTATAAATTATACTATGTGTCAAAATAATCTTACGTGTCGTACTTGTTTTTATATAAAAAGGATACTGTATCTCTCTCATCTTGATCTATAATAACTGGTTAAAGACCTAACTGGCCGTTCATCTAGATTAAAGACCTAACTGGTTTTGAATCTTGAATTTTGTTTAGGGTTTAAAGTCTTCTCGAACGATGATAGACCTTAAGGCGGCGACGGAGTGGCAGGCGGATATTGCAACATGGGTCTTGTGGGACATAAGCAGGTGTCCTGTTCCAGCTGACGTTGATGCTCGACGTTGATGCTCGTCGTGTGGGTCCGTTTATAAGACGGGCGTTGAAGAGTTTAGGTTACAACGGTGATCTCACCATCACTGCCATTGGCATACTATCACAAGTCCCTATTGACGTCCTTCGAGCCCTCTCTTCCACTGGGATCAGCCTTCATCACGTCCCCACCATGTGTAAGTGTTTTAGATTCAACTCTCTTTACCTTTTTGTTTTTGTTTGGTGTGTTTCTATAAGAGTCTTAAGTATTTTAGTTTTTTTCTGGAACAGATAACAAATCTATTATGACTAGTGTGTACATGTGGAAGTCGGATAATCCGCCTCCGGCTAATGTCATGCTCATATCCCTTCAGAGGATCTTCGGTCAGTTTATTGCCGATCTATCGGAGAAATACTACGTTCTTGGCTCAAAAGTTCCATATGATCGTCAACTAGAGCCCACTGTCTTCGCTAGGCGTGCAGGGTGCTTCCTCTGGGAAAGCTTACTCGCAAGCTTACGTGCAGGTGTGTTCCTCTCTCTCTCTCTCTCGCTCTCTCTCAAACTCACACACACACACACCAAATTAAGCTCTTTTTTGTTTTTTGTTTTGTTTTCTCCAACAGAGGCCAAGAAGGATGCAGTGGAACAACGGGTAAATCTACATTTTATTGCTCTGGATGCTGTCTTGGTCTCTTAAGGCTTTGAAAGTTTCACCAAGCATATCCTCAGTAAAGAACATGCACTTGATGTAAGCATCTATCCCCAAAAGAAACCTTGTCATTGTCTAACTACATATTTGATTCTTTCCCTTTCTCACTTGTTAATCTTCTCTTTTGCTTGTCAAGCAGGAGTTGGATTATTACCCTGGGGGAGTTGAGGCTGGCAATGAATCTCGTGCTCGCAAGGAGGATGCTGCTGCCATACTAGCAAGGCTACAAGGTTTAGAGAGGCCAGAAGACTTGAAGAAGAAGAAGAAGAAGCCAAGTACAAGAAACAAAGACTTGAAGATCCTTATTATGATGAAGAATATGACTATGAAGCAGAAGCAGAGTAGCGTGTGGGGTAATGGGATCTTGTTCTTCTCTAAGTCATTTTCATATTGTTAAATATGGTTTGTTTTACTCTTAGCGGCAGATTTACTGTTAACTGATAATACCTTGTCGCTAGTGCTTATTCATTACATTAGACTTGATGCTCTGTTGATTCTGAGGTACACCACCTTTATATAAAATTAACTTACCGTATAGTTTTATATATGATTCTCCTTGGTTATACCAAATATCATCTTTTAAAACCAAAAAAAAAAAAGCTTATTGCAACAACCAAAATGTGTGAACGTGAGAATTATGGAAATCAAATAAGCCAAAATTTCCAAGAAAAGTCAGTGATTTGGACTCACTCGATCGAGAATTGTGGACGTGAAAGAAAGTCTTATCTTCAATTATTCTCTGCATCTTCTCTCGTTTGCTCAATCTCAAAATCTCAAAATCTCAGATATTCTTTCTTTCTGCAAAATGGGGAATTTCCTCTCTTTCTTAGGTCCGTGTATAAGTCCAATCTCTCAATGGCTACAAGAGAAAGGAATTTCTATTCAAAATCTCGAGAATAATCTTGTGACTTTGGAGACAGCCATGGAAGAGCTCAGGGCTAAGCGTGATGATTGTCGACAAGGGTCACACGAGAGGAGAAAGAAGGTCGGCAAAAGCTTGCTACAACCGAGGTATGGCTTAAGAGAGTTGCGACTATCGAAAAAAATGTCAGTGATCTTATTGGCCGTAGAGAAGATGAACTTGCAAGACTGTGTCTTTTTGGGTTTTGCTCTAACAGTTTAATATCGAGTTATCGTTACGGGGAAAAGGTTTCCTCGACGTTGCAGGAGGTTGAGGAACTTCTGAGTAAACAATTTGGAGACGTTTGTGGGCAAATTCAAATATCCAAGGTGGAGGAAAAACAAGTTCAACAGATAATTGTTGGTCAAAAAACAATGGTCGATGATGCATGGAAACATCTCATGAAAGATGGAGTTGGTACTATGGGATGTATGGTATGGGCGGAGTTGGGAAAACAACACTTCTCAAGCAAATCAACAATAAGTTCATTGAAGAAAGGTGTGGATTCGATTTTGTGATTTGGGTTGTGGTGTCTAAAGAGTTACATGTAGACAAGATTCAAGAATATCGCTGAGAGAATTGGTCTCGCTAAGAGAAATGGTCTCGGTGGAGAGGATGGAAACAAAAAGACAAGAGCCAAAAGACCGATGTTTTATTCAAATTCTTAAGGAAAAAGAATTTGTGTTGTTTCTAGATGACATATGGGAGAAGGTGGATTTACAGAGATTGGAGTCCCGTTTCCAGCACCAGAAAACGGATGCAAAGTAGTCTTCACCACTCGTCGCCAAGACGTATGTAAGCGCATGGGTGTTGAAGACCCGATGGAAGTCAAATGCTTGGCGGAAAAGGAAGCATTTGATTTGTTCCAAAAGAAGGTTGGAGAAAGAACATTAGGAAGCGATCAGGAGATCCCTGAACTTGCAAAAGACATTGCTAGAAAATGTGGTGGCCTTCCATTGGCGCTCAATGTCATAGGAGAGACCATGTCATGCAAGAAGACGGTGGAAGAATGGCGTCACGCGAAAGATGTTTTGGCTTCGTACGCTATAGAGTTTTTCTGGCATGGAAGATAAGATCCTTCGCTTTTGAAGTATAGCTACGATAACCTTAAGGGTGAGGATGTCAAATCATGTTTGCTGTATTGTGCTTTGTTCCCAGAAGATTATGAGATTGATAAAGAGAACTTATAGACTACATGATATGCGAAGATATTATCAATGGAAGTGATGGAATAGAAAGGGCTGAGAACAAGGGGTATGAGATAATTGGTGATCTTGTTCGTGCATCTTTGTTGATGGAAGAGGCTGAGAAGTATGGCACAAGAAGTGCGTATGCATGATGTTGTTCGCGAAATGGCCTTGTGGATTGCATCTGAATTGGGAAGAGAAAAGGAGGCTTTCATTGTGCATGCAGGTGTAGGGTTAAGTGAAATTCCAAAGGTTAAGAATTGGAACACTGTGAGAAGGATGTCACTGATGAAGAATAAGATTCACAATCTCGGTGGCAGTCCTGAATGTCTCGAACTCACAGCTTTTCTCATGCAACAGGGAGATTTGGTAAATATCTCGAGTGAATTCTTCAAGTCCATGCCGAAGCTACAGGTGTTGGATCTATCATTAATAAAAATCTCACCAAAGTGCCGGATGGAGTATCTGATTTAGTTTCTTTGAAGTATCTCAACTTGTCAGTTACAGGTATCCGTCATCTCCCTAAGGGTCTACAAGAGGGGCGGACCTACATGAGAAGGAGGGTGGTCACCTGACACCCCTAAAATAATTATATATTTAAGTTTTCAGCTAATACATCAGCGTTAACACAGCTTAGTTGGTTAAAATCTCCTTATCTGATAACCAAGGTTCGAATCCCTCCACTGACACCTAATTAAAATTTTGAAGGAAGTTTTTTTTCATGGGATCGCGGCATAGTGGAGGAATTGGAAACCTTGGAGCATTTAGAAATTTTAACCCTAGAAATCCATCGTCCACCACATCTGGAGCTATTTTTTAGTTCTTACAGGTTGACGAGTTGTACACGATATTTGGGGATCTCGGAATTGGAATCAACTGGAATAGCAATTCCAGTAACCATGAACAAGCTGCGTTATTTCGGCATTAGGAACTGCACTATCCCTGAGATAAAGATGGGAAGTATATGCAACAAAAGCAAGACGGTTTCTCCTCTACACAATCCGAAAGAGCCATGCTTCTTGAGCCTCTCCAGCGTGAATATAAGTGATTGCAGATGCCTGAGGGAGCTGACGTTGCTGATGTTTGCTTCAAATCTTAAAAAACTCTACGTTGGCAAAGCAAATCAACTAGAAGATATAATAAACAAAGAGAAATCTTGTGAAGTTGGAGATTCAGGGGTTGTTCCTTTTGCAAAGCTGGTTTCTCTTTGGCTGGAGAGTCTACCGAAGCTAAAGAATATCTATTGGAATCCTCTACGCTTTCCATGTCTAAAGAAGATCTTTGTAGAAGATTGTCCAAATCTGAAAAGACTTCCACTGGATTCTCAAAGTGGAAACGGACTCGTCATAAATTGCAGTGAGAAGAGTTGGATTGAAGGTGTGGAATGGGAGGACGAAGCTACAAAACTCGCTTCTTATCTTCATGAAAATTGGTATAATTTCTCGATTTCTCTTATTTGTTTTCGTATGATTTTTCGCTTCAGGTTGTGAACTTTCTATTTGTTTCTGTTACAGTGTAAGTACGGATCGTAGCCACAAGGCGTACCAGGTTTATCTTCTGATCCAGCTTGTTGGAAGTTGAAGATGCCATTTGCCTTTCATCCATATATAATCTCTCTTCGCTCTAAAATCACTACCACTCACCGTGTGTTTCTCTATGTGAGTTTGTTTCTTTTCTTATTTGCATCAACATTTATACAATGGTTACTTTTGAAGTTGATTGGAATGCTTTCCGCTGTGTAATATTTGATGTTGTCTTTAATAAAACCCGATTGGTCTCTGTATATCTCTTGTTTGTCTGAAATATGGAAAGTTGTATCTCTCTCTCTATCGATATCGTGTGATCTGTGTGCAAATCAAGTCCTTCATGCATCGGAGGGCGATAATATTCGCAATCTCGAGGAGAAACTCAAGTCTTTGGAGACAACCATGGAAGTGCTCGGTGCAAGGCGGGATGATTTATATAAAAAATGGTGGATCGAGAGGAGGATAAAGGTATGGTTTACTATAGTTGATACCATTGAAAGCCTAGTCTGAGACCAAGTTATCGTTATGGTACCTATGGAAGCTAGTTTTTTGGACCTGTTGAATAACAGAAATCTCTTGGAGTTGACAGAAGAGAAACAGAGCTGGTTTCATTGCAGTATCTAAACATGTCAAAAAAAATATATACAATGTCTGAGTCTCAGCTTACAAGAGTTGAAGAAGTTGATTTACTTGAATTTGAACTTCACATGAAACCTTTCGAGTATCGATTGGGGTATCAAGTCTACTTGATTTGAAAGTATTGAGATTGTGAGGTTCTGGTGTTCCATTAGAGATATTATCCATAGGAATTAGTTATATGATTCAGGTTTGGTTCAGTTCTTAAGCTCTGATAGGATGCTTTCATCTTTATTTTACAAAATCTAATATTTTGGTTGATATATACAAAGAGAAATCTTGACAAGCTCGAGCAACCAAGTGATGATGATCTTCCCATTCATATCTATAAGTCTCCGGTTCTCCATCTTCCTCATGAAACTCGTCAAAAACATCTCTTTCCTCCATTCCTCTGTTCCTGAGCACGCAATTTGTGAACCAGTGATGATGTGTTCGTGTTGTTGCTGCTCTGTTTTGTGAATTAGAAAGGAAAAAAAGCAGAGCAATAAGGATCTAAAATACGGAATTTCCATTTTACTAATTTAGTAGTAACAAATTTTCCCTTCAAGAAAACAACATATTTAATTAGTTATCTAGAACTTTAGATTCCACGTTGAAAAAGGAAATTTTTTTTTTCTTTTTAAAGCGGAAGATGTCTTTTTGTATTATATAAAAGAGTACATGGCAAGTTACAAACCCTAATTTTTATTTGACATGATTTGGTAGAGGAGATACTCTCTAGGGTTCCGATAACTTCTTTGAGAGAGGTGAGGTCCACATGCAAAGCATGGAACGATTTAACCAAAGTTCACAGCTTTACAGAGAAGCAATTGAGTAAAACAGCCAAAGGGTTTCTGATGATCATGATTTATGGTCGTGTGGTTAGTTTAACAAGTATTAATCTCCATGGAATCCATAACCACGAAGACTCGGTTGATGCATCTGCAAAGAAGATAGGTAACTTCTTTAATCAAGTCGTGATAAATAACGTCTTTCACTGTGACGGCTTATTGTTATGCCGCACAAGAGACTCCAAGCTTGTGGTATGGAACCCGTATTTGGGGCAAGTCAGGTGGAACCTATTAGATGTGATGAGAGTGTTTGATGGGAAGAAGTATTATTGACTCTCATGATTATAAGCTTTACGATACATTGATATATATAGTGAAAGGATTTCCTAAACTAAGAGATATACAAATATCTAAATAGTTAATACAATATATTTACTAATAATAACATGATCATCTAGATCCTTCTATACGCCCCCTCAAGCTCAAGGTGGTAATGGAGTGTAACGGAATAGAAAGCTTGAGATTGACTTGAATATATGGTGATGGCGCTGAAAATGGAGACATGGTCCTCGGCAGTATGTTACCTAGGAGGAAGAAGAACACTTTTTTTTTTTTTTTTTTTTTTTTTTTTTTTTTAAGAAGAAGAAAAAAGTAAGAAGATCATAGAAAAGGAGAACCGAGAAAAAGGAAGAGGTAAAGAGATGGAATCAATTTTTTTTTTTTTTTTTTTTTAACAAAAATAAAAAGAAGAAATGAATCTAGAAGCACTTTGGCTTAAGGAAACGAAAACAATAAGATTTTTATAGAGAAGTAGACGAAGAAATGAGAAGAAAACAAGAAAATCAATTTTTTTTTTTTTTTCTTTTAAGAAACCCTAAGGTTTTGAGAAGCACATGGCTTGAATTGAGAAGAGCGAGTCATTCTCAGAAAATGATTCAGAGGTTCATGATGAACTTGAATTTGGAAGCATATAGCTTAAAACACAGAATAAAAAGAATGAAGAAGAAAGAAAGAGTTTTGATTCAGAGATCCATGATAGACTTGAATGAAGGAAGCACTTGGCTTAAAAAAAGTGAAGAAAAGAGTTTGATTGTTAGATCAAAACCCTTGAGGATAACCTGCTCTGATACCATATTAGATGTGATGATATTAGATGTGATGAGAGTGTTTGATGGGAAGAAGTATTATTGACTCTCATGATTATAAGCTTTACGATACATTGATATATATATAGTGAAAGGATTTCCTAAACTAAGAGATATACAAATATCTAAATAGTTAATACAATATATTTACTAATAATAACATCATCATCTAGATCCTTCTATAGAACCAACCAAGAAAAGAATTCTACATGTCGGATAACTACTCTCTTGGATATGATAAGAGCAACAACAACTACAAAATCTAGAGGTTTTTGATTGGTTACGTAGCTAGTACTAACGAACGAATTATTAATTATCACATCTTTAATTTTAAGTCCAATTCATGGAGGGTTATTGGTGTCACTCCCGATAATTGGCATATAGATTATTATCAAGGCAGTATATCTTTGAAGGGAAATACTTACTTTCTTTCTCGGGGAAGATTAGAAGAGAAAAAAAGTTTTTTTGCTCTGTTTTGATTTTACAAGAGAGAGATTTGGACCGCGTCTTTATCTACCGTTTGATTGTGATGTTAGAAACGATATGCAGACTCTATCTTCTGTTAGAGAAGAGCAGATTTCAGTGATACTTATGCGCAAGGATACAAATGTGATGGAGGGTATGGATTACAGATAAGATCGAGCCTGATGCAGCATCTTGGAAGAAGTTCATGGTGGTAAAGGATCAACCAATCCCAGTGGCGGAACTAGGAATAACTTTTACAAGGGTCACAATGAACTAAAATATATATTACATGGGTCAATGATCACATTTTATCACATTTCATCAGATTTTCTATCAAACATAGTGATAATTTAAAATAAAAAATAAAAATTTCAGGAGGGTCACTTGACTCACGTCCACACACGCTGGCTCCGCCACTGACCAATCTCAGTAGCGGAATATCCAGGAGGGTCACTTGACCCACGTCCACACACTGGCTCCGCCACTGACCAATCCTGTCTTTAATAAATAAAATTTCAGTTCAAAGTGGGAGTTTCTTTATTGATGAAGACAAGAAAGTCGTAGTGGTTTGGGTTATAACTGACCACATAGCTTGCATGGTTAAAGAGAATGGATACTTCAAAGAAATTGTTCGCAGGGAATCTAATCATCTGCTACTTATGTGCTCTTATGCTCCGAGTTCGGTGCAGATCCAGCAAGGCCCAGTACGTGCATGTGGCAAAAGGAAAGAACGAGATTATATGTAATATTTTTCAAAAAAAACTTGTTTGTTTCTTGCATGGATCTTCTTTTCATTCATTTTTGTTTTTTTTTTTAATTCCCACTGTGTTTGCTGTGTCCCTTTTGATCAATAACTAAACTGTGGCATTGAGAGAAGTGGGCGTGTCTCTCAAGTTGTCTTATATGATTAATACCTAAATCGTATGTGGAAAATAACATTTTGATGCATCACTCAAGAGTTGCTGAGCATGTGCATAATCTTTGTTGATACTAGGTGTTTTGGATCTATCGCAGAATCAAAATCTCTATGAATTGCAGGAGAAGGAATGCTTTAAAGTGTAATGTTATTTATGATATTTGATAAATGCGACACTGATCTTTGAATGTTTCAAGGATACGCTAATTATTATGACTTTGCATCTCCTTCCTTGGCCAAGAAGTTATCCCTACGTCGGAAACCTCATCAGATCTCTGTATTCGAAGATGCCGGGTCGGATCAGGTCAACACTTAACGGATCCGGGTTTACATGATCATGATGGATGTTTCTGTCAAAGCTCTGGTGGGATTTGGGTTTTACGTGAGTCTCAAGTTTTCTTCTTCAGTCAACAATGGATACTATATCATTATGTCCCACCAACGTCAACAACCGTTATTATGGAATTAATTATCAAAGGAAGTTAATTATCAGGAATGTCAGGGAGATGAGAGGTTCAATTAATTATCAACGAAGATACTCAAAGTGTTCTTCTTGTTCCGTGATTAGTATGTCCCACCAAAGTCAACAACCAAAATGTGTGAACGTGAGAATTATGGATATCAAATAAGCAAACATTTCCAAGAAAAATCAGTGATTTGGACTCACTTGGTCGAGAATTGTGGACGTGAAAGAAAGTCTTATCTTCAATTCAATTATTCTGCATCTGTCTCTGGTTTGCTCATATCAGCAAAATTCTCAAATCAGATCTCTTTTCCTTTCTGCAAAATGGGCAACCTTTCTCGATATCCTTGTGATCCGTGTATATAAAATCTCTAATGGAGACAAGAAAGTAGGTTATATACATAATCTTGAGAAGAATCTCACTCTGGAGACAGCCATGGAAGAGCTCAAGGCTAAGCGTGATGATTTGTTACGAAAGGTCACAAGAGAGGAGGATAAAGGTCACAAAGGCTTGGAAGAATCCAGGTATGGCTTAAGAAAGTTGAGTCTATCAAAAAGTTGATCTTCTTGATGCTAGAGATGTTCAACTTCAAAGGTTGTGTCTTTGTGGGTTTTGCTCTAAGAGTTTAAGATCCAGTTACCGTTACGGGAAAAAGGTTTTCTTGACGTTGAAGGATGTTGTGCAACTCGAAGTAATAGAGTTTGAAGTTACTGATCTAGCAATCAAACTCCAGCTGTGATAGAGGAAATACAAGTTCCACGGATAATTGTTGGTCAAGAAGCAATGCTCGAAAGGCATGGAAACATCTCAAGGAAGATGGAGTTGGTATTATGGGTATGTATGGTATGGGCGGAGTTGGGAAAACAACGCTTCTCATGCAAATCAACAATAAGTTCAGTGAAGAAGAGGTGTGGATTTGATTTTGTGATTTGGGTTGTGGTGTCTAAAGAGTTACATGTAGAGAAGATTCAAGATGAAATCGCTCAGAAAGTTGGTCTTGGTGAGAGTGGAGAAAAGCCAAAAGACCGATCTGTTATACAATTTCTTGAAGAAAAAGAGATTTGTGTTGTTTTTAGATGACATATGGGAGAAGGTGGATTTAACAGAGATTGGAGTCCCATTTCCAACACCGAAAACCGATGCAAAGTAGTCTTCACCACTCGTTCCCAAGATGTATGTGCGCGCATGGGGGTTGAAGACCCAATGGAAGTCCAATGTTTGGCGGAAATGAAGCATTTGATTTGTTCCAAAAGAAGGTTGGACAAAGAACATTAGGAAGCGATCCAGAGATCCCCAAGCTTGCAAAAAGAGTTGCTAGAAAATGTGGTGGCCTTCCATTGGCGCTCAATGTCATAGGGGAGACCATGTCATGCAAGAGACGGTGGAAGAATGGCGTCACGCTATAAATGTTTTGACTTCGTACGCTATAGAGTTTTCTGGCATGGAAGATAAGATCCTTCCACTTTTGAAGTATAGCTACGATAATCTTAAGGGCGAGGATGTCAAATCATGTTTGCTGTATTGCGCTTTATTTCCAGAAGATGATCTGATTTCTAAAAAGTATTTGATAGACTACTTGATAGGCGAAGGTATTATAGATGGAAGTGAAGGTATAGAGAGGGCTGAGAACAAGGGGTATGAGATATTGGTGATCTTGTTCGTGCATCATTGTTGATGGAAGAGGATGAATATGGAACAAGAATGTGTGCGTATGCATGATGTTGTTCGCGAAATGGCATTGTGGATTGCATCTGAATTGGGAAGAGAAAAGGAGGCTTTCATTGTGCATGCAGGTGTAGGGTTAATGAAATTCCAAAGGTTAAGAATTGGAACAGTGTGAGAAGAATGTCACTGATGAAGAACAAGATTCGCAATCTAGCTGGCAGTCCTGAATGTCTCGAACTCACAGCTTTTCTCATGCAACGGGGAGAATTGGTAAATATCTCGAGTGAATTCTTCAAGTCCATGCCGAAGCTACAGGTGTTGGATCTATCATTTAATGAAATCTCACCAAAGTGCCGGATGGAGTATCTGATTTAGTTTCTTTGAAGTATCTCAACTTGTCAGATACTGGTATCCGTCATCTCCCTAAGGGTCTACAAGAGTTGAAAAAACTCATTCACTTGAATCTCGAGCATACACTTCAGCTTTCGAGTATTGCTGGGATATCAAATCTGCATAATTTGATGATCTGAAATTAGCTGGAAGTGGCTTTTCATGGGATCGCGGCATAGTGGAGGAATTAGAAACCTTGGAGCATTTAGAAATTTTAACCCTAGAAATCGATTGTATCCACCTCTGGAGCTATTTTTAGCTCTCATAGGTTGACGAGTTGTACACGATTTCTGGAGATCTTGAAATTGGAATCAACTGGAATAGCAATTCCAGTAACCATGAACAAGCTTCGTTATTTCATCATTACGAACTGCACTATCTCCTGAGATAAAGATGGGAAGTATATGCAACAAAAGCAAGACGGTTTCTCCTCTACACAATCCGAGAGAGCCATGCTTCTTGAGCCTCTCCAAAGTGTATATATAAATTGCCGAGGCCTGAGGGAGCTGACGTTGCTGATGTTTGCTTCAAATCTTAAAGAACTTGAAGTTAGGTATTCAGATCAACTAGAAGATATAATAAACAAAGAGAAAGCTTGTGAAGTTGAAGAATCAGGGATTGTTCCTTTTGCAAAGCTGGTTTCTCTTTATTGCGGAGTCTACCCAAGCTAAAGAATATCTATTGGAATCCTCTACGCTTTCCATGTCTAAAGATATTCAATGTAATCGAATGTCCAAATCTGAAAAAGCTTCCACTGGATTCTCAAAGTGGCATACATGGTGAAAATAGACTCGTCTTAGGATACAGAGAGGAAAGTTGGATTGAAGGTGTTGAATGGGAGGACGAAGCTACCAAAAACTCGCTTCTTATCTTCATGAAAATTGGTATAATTTCTCGTATTATCTTATTTCTTTTCATATGATTTTTTTTCTTCGGGATATGAACCGCTTCCATTTTCTTATGCATCTGTCTTTTTGTTTATGGTACATGTTCAGAGTGTTTCTTGGAAATATAGCGAGGAGGAGGATTCAAGCGACGAGGAAGTTGAAGATGTCATTTGCCTTTAATCAAAAGAGAAGCTTTTCTTTCTCTTCTCTTCTCTGTCTCTCACTCTCTCAAATCTCTACCACTCATTGTGTGTTGCTGTCTGTGTGCTTTTTTCTGTCTTATTTTTTATCAACATTTATACAATGGTTACGTTTGAAGTCGATTGTAATGTTTTCATATGCCATATACATTGTTTCAGTGCGTACACAAACCAGTTAGCTGGTCTTATGCAGGATATGCAAGCACCTTTTTATTCTTGTCCCATATAATATTATATATTTGCCAACACGATGATCAATGAATTATGTTTACTATAATGATCTAATATAATAGTCAGATGGGGGAGGGAGTCTATCAAGTAAGCTGGAAAATTGATTTGATTATATTGGGAGGTTAGCGTATCAAGTCTACTTGATTTGAAAGTATTGAGACTGCAGAGGTTCTGGTGTTTCATTAGATCTCAACACGGTGGAGGAGTTACAAGTCTTGGCAAGATTAGAGATATTAACCATAGGAATTAGGTTATATGATTCAGGTTTGGTTCAGTTCTCAAGCTCTCATAGGATGATGAGCTGTACACGAAATAGAAGCTTTCATCTTTATTTTACAATATACAAAGAGAAATCATGGTTAGCTTGAGCAACCAAGTGATGATGATCTTCCCATTCATCTCTATACGTCTCCGGATTCTCCATCTTCCTCATGAAACTCATCAAGAACATCTCTTTCCTATATTCCTCTGTTCCTGAGCACCCATATTCTGAAGCCAACCAATCATTGTACTCAAACTGTGACAAAAAGAACAACACACACCAAAAATTACAAATAAATCTGTGTCCGTGTTGGCTTTCAACATGTTAAGAGACTCTTGCTTACATGGTTGATGCCCAAAGAGTGAGTATATCGCTTAGGAACCCCTTCCCCTTCAAGTCTTGCATACAAGGTTTCGATTTCCATTAACATATCTTCCTTTGAAGGAAGCATGATCCGACGAGACAAAACACCCGCAATCCACTTGCTTTGCAGCTCAAACATAGGAAACGGTAGAGGAGATAACCTGCAAAAAAATCCAAACTTGTTTATAGACTTCAAAATCCGAACCGTAACAAGCAGATAACCAAAGCTATGCCGATTTAGAGCTTTTGTACCTTACATGGTATCCCGGCGAAGGAGAGCCACGGCGCTAATAGTGGAGGGAAGATGTGTTTGTACAATGGACTAACACAGTTATCATCTACAGTAACACTTCCATTGGTATCAAGAAACGAGAAGTCATACTTATACCTTTATAACCAAAAAGGAAAGAGCTTTAATTAAGTTTCAAGAAAATTCTTGAAATGCAGAGCCTAAAGAACATCATTACCCAGTGCAATGCATTATCACATGAGTAAAAATCGTTTTCCCATTCTGAAAAACCACAGAACCATTCTCAAGGACACGCTCAATCTGCGTTTGGAGATTCAAGAAAAACATTATTACGGTAAGTAGTACTATACTACTACTCAGGAGCTAAACTCACCATTGAATGCATCCAGAGGTTAGGGTGACCAGTTTGTTTGATGTATGTATCAGCTGGATTTGACCAAGAAGCCACCACTTGAAGAGTTCCCAATCAGCACAACAATCTATATAAGAAAATGCAGCAGAGACTTCACATGAATCATAAGAATCTCACAGTGTTATCATCAATGATTTTGAGTACCTGATCTTTGAATGGTTGTGGAAGACGATAGTTATGGCTATGCATCTCCTTCCCTGGCCACAAACTTATCCCTGAAATGATTCTTAGTTTTCAAATGTTCCAATGAAGTTTCGATTTTTGAAATGATTTCATAGAATTTGAGAATTTACCAGGAATTTCAGCGAGACGAGGTTCGATGTAATGTCCATTACAAACAACAACAGCATCGTAAATCTCATCACGATGATGAGATTTCTTCTCTTTCTCTGTAGATTCGATTCTCCATTTTCCGATTCCTTCCTCGCCGTCGCTTTCCGCCGCCGGAGAAACGCGCACGACCGTCGTCTCGAACCGGATCAGCTTCTCGATGCCAAACTCCTTGGAGAAGTCTTGCAGATACGCCAGAACTTCACCGTGACTCGGAAACCTCCTCGGATCTCTGGATTCGCCGGATCGGATCGCGAACGGGAAGTCTCTGAATCCCATACACTCTCGAGGAAGGTTCGTTCGGAGAGAGCCATAGACGCTCGAGTGAACGACGAGTCGGCTCGGGTCGACGCTTAACGGATCGGACTCGACATGATCGGTGTAGATCCAAGTTCCTCCGACCTGTTTCTGCCTCTCGAAGACGACGACGGTGTGACCTTCTCGTCGAAGCTCTCTCGCCGCCACTAGCCCGGCGGCGCCAGCTCCGATTACAGCCACGTGGCGTGATTTGATTGATGACGAAGACGCCATTTGGGTTTTTACGAGATTCTCGTTAATTATTCTTGGAGATTCTTTCATTAACATGCCCCCACCAAAGTCGCTTTGAGGAATTAGATTCTGAACATTTCTATCATAACCGGAACTAAACCGGGTTAAGTCTGGGTAGTAAGTAGGAGTGTAAAACTTGCATTGAGAGACGTTGGCGTGCCTCTCAAGTTATTATTCTCCTTTCTTATACCTAAATTGCCTGTGGGCAAATATCATTTTGATGCATCACTCGAGAAGGTTGCTGAGATGTGCATCTTAACTCTTATCTATCGCAGAATCAAAATCTCTCTGAAATTGCAGGAGAAATAATGCTTTTAACTCTTAACGTTATTTGCAGATCTAATAAGACTTTGTGATTAGTATGTCCCACCAAAGTCAACAACCAAAATGTGTGAACGTGAGAATTATGGAAATCAAATAAGCCAAAATTTCCAAGAAAAATCAGTGATTGGACTCACTCGATCGAATATTGTGGACGTGAAAGAAAGTCTTATCTTCAATTATTCTCTGCATCTTCTCTCGTTTGCTCAGTCTCAAAATCTCAAAATCTCAGATTCTTTCTTTCTGCAAAATGGGGAATTTCCTCTCTTTCTTAGGTCCGTGTATAAATCCAATCTCTCAATGGCTACAAGAGAAAGGAATTTATATTCAAAATCTTGAGATGAATCTTGAGGCTCTTGGAGAAGCTATGGAAGATCTCAGGCTAAGCGTGAAGATTTGCAATCAAGGGTCACAAGAGAGGAGGAAAGAGGTCGGCAAAAGCTTGCTACAACCGAGGTATGGCTTAAGAGAGTTGCGACTATCGAAAAAAATGTCAGTGATCTTCTTGGCCGTAGAGAAGATGAACTTGCAAGACTGTGTCTTTTTGGGTTTTGCTCTAACAGTTTAATATCGAGTTATCGTTACGGGGAAAAGGTTTCCTTGACGTTGCAGGAGGTTGAGGAACTTAAGAGTAAAGAATTTGGAGAGGTTTGTGGGCAAGCTCAAACCTCAACTGAGACAGCTGTGATAGAGGAAATACAACTTCCACGATAATTGTTGGTCAAGAACAATGCTCGAAAATGCATGGAAACATCTCAAGGAAAGATGGAGTTGGTACTATGGGTATGTATGGTATGGGCGGAGTTGGGAAAACAACGCTTCTCAAGCAAATCAACAATAAGTTCAGTGAAGAAAGGTGTGGATTTGATTTTGTGATTTGGGTTGTGGTGTCTAAAGAGTTACATGTAGAGAAGATTCAAAATGAGATCGCTCAGAAAATTGGTCTTGGTGGAGAGGATGGGAGAAAAAGGACAAGAAAAAAAAAGCTTATTTATACAATTTCTTGAAGGAAAAGAGATTTGTGTTGTTTTTAGATGACATATGGGAGAAGGTGGATTTATAGAGATTGGAGTCCCGATTTCCAGCACCAGAAAACCGATGCAAAGTAGTCTTCACCACTCGTCGCCAAGACGTATGTGATCGCATGGGGTTGAAGACCCAATGGAAGTCAATGCTTGGCGGAAATGAAGCATTTGATTTGTTCCAAAAGAAGGTTGGACAAAGAACATTAGGACGCCATCGGATCCCTGAACTTGCAAAAGACATTGCTAGAAAATGTGGTGGCCTTCCATTGGCGCTCAATGTCATAGGGGAGACCATGTCATGCAAGAGAAGGTGGAAGAATGGCGTCACGCGATAAATGTTTTGACTTCGTACGCTACGAGTTTTCTGGCATGGAAGATAAGATCCTTCCGCTTTTGAAGTATAGCTACGATAATCTTAAGGGCGAGGATGTCAAATCATGTTTGCTGTATTGCGCTTTATTCCAGAAGATTATCTGATTTCTAAAGAGAATTATAGACTACTTGATATGCGAAGATATTATCAATGGAAGTGATGGAATAGAAAGGGCTGAGAACAAGGGGTATGAGATAATTGGTGATCTTGTTCGTGCATCTTTGTTGATGGAAGAGGATGGAAGAGAAGTGGTGCGTATGCATGATGTTGTTCGCGAAATGGCATTGTGGATTGCATCTGAATTGGGAAGAGAAAAGGAGGCTTTCATTGTGCATGCAGGTGTAGGGTTAAATGAAATTCCAAAGGTTAAGAATTGGAACAGTGTGAGAAGAATGTCACTGATGAAGAACAAGATTCGCAATCTAGCTGGCAGTCCTGAATGTCTCGAACTCACAACTTTTCTCATGCAACGGGGAGATTTGGTAAATATCTCGAGTGAATTCTTCAAGTCCATGCCGAAGCTACAGGTGTTGGATCTATCATTTAATGAAATCTCACCAAAGTGCCGGATGGAGTATCTGATTTAGTTTCCTTGCAATATCTCAACTTGTCAGATACTGGTATCCGTCATCTCCCTAAGGGTCTACAAGAGTTGAAAAAACTCATTCACTTGGATCTCGGTATACAATCAGCTTTCGAGTATTGCTGGGATATCAAATCTGCATAATTTGATGATACTGAATTAGCTGGAAGTGGCTTTTCATGGGATCGCGGCATAGTGGAGGAATTAGAAACCTTGGAGCATTTAGAAATTTTAACCATAGACATCGATGTGTATCCACATCTGGAGCTATTTTTAGCTCTCACAGGTTGACGAGTTGTACACGATTTCTGATCTTAAATTGGAATCAACTGGAATAGCAATTCCAGTAACCATGAACAAGCTCGTTATTTCAGCATTACGAACTGCACTATCTCTGAGATAAAGATGGGAAGTATATGCAACAAAAGCAAGACGGTTTCTCCTCTACACAATCCGAAGAGCCATGCTTCTTGAGCCTCTCCACGTGATATAAGTATTGCAGAGGCCTGAGGGAGCTGACGTTGCTGATGTTTGCTTCAAATCTTAAAGAACTTGTTGGCAGCATCAACTAGAAGATATAATAAACAAAGAGAAAGCTTGTGAAGTTGGAGAATCAGGGATTGTTCCTTTTGCAAAGCTGGTTTCTCTTTGCGGAGAGTCTACCGAAGCTAAAGAATATCTATTGGAATCCTCTACGCTTTCCATGTCTAAAGATATCTGTAAAAGATTGTCCAAATCTGAAAAAGCTTCCACTGGATTCTCAAAGTGGCATGCAAAAATGGACTCGTCTTAAACAGTGAGAAAGTTGGATTGAAGGTGTGGAATGGGAGGACGAAGCTACCAAAACTCGCTTCTTATCTTCATGCAAATTGGTATAATTTCTCGTATTTTCTTATTTGTTTTCATATGATTTTTTCTTCGGTTATGAACTGCTTCCATTTTTTTAATGCCTCTGTCTTTTTGTTTTTGTTACAGTTGAAGTTTGGATTGTAGCCACAAGGTATAACGGTATCTTCTGATGCAGCTCCTTGGAAGTTGTAGATGCCATTTGCCTTTGTTCCAAAAAGCTTTTCTCTCTTCTCTTCTCTCAAAATCACTATCACTCACTCTGTGTGTGTTGCTCTCTGTGAGTAATATTTTCTTATTTGCATCAACATTCATACAATGGTTTCGTTTGAAGTTTTCTGCTGTGTAATATTTTCCTTTTGACTTTAATCAAACCAAATTGCTCTGTCTGAATCTCTCTTGTTTGTCTAAAATATGGGAAACTAGTTTGTTTTGGATATGTTGTATGACAGAAATCTCTCAGAGAGTCTACAAGGAATATCAAAGCTGGTTTCTTTGCCGTATCTCAACATGTCAAAAACATTTAAAATATATCAAACTCACAACGTTGCTCCTGCAAATGATGAAATTGTCGAATATCTAGAAGGAATTCTTCAAATACATGCCAAAGCTAGCCGTTTTGGATCTTTTGCAGAATCAAATTCTCTCTGAGTTGCCTGAGGGAATATCAAACCTAGGTTCTTTGCAATATCTCAACTTATCAGGCTCTGGTATACGTAACTTGGATTTGGGGAATACACATAGCCTTTTACGAGCACTGTTGGGATTTCAAAAGCTGCAAACTCTGAAAGTTTTGAAAAAATGTTTAATTTTAGTTTTTCATGGGGTCTAAGTGTTGTGGAAGAGTTGGAAATTTTGGAAAATATAGATTTTTTTTTTCACACGAATCAATTATCGTCAAGATCTTGAAATTTTGAGATCTCATAGGTTGACGTGTTGTACAAGATATCTACAGATCAGGAACATGCATCTGGAATATCACTTCCAGTAACTATGGAGAAGCTTCGTGATCTCAGCATTGGGATCACGAACGGGAAATCTCTGAATTCCATAGACTCTCGAGTCGCGAGGAAAGGTTAGTTGGGAGAGAGCTAGTCGGGTCGGGTTGTAGCTTAACGGATCGGACTCGACGTTATCGGAGTGAATCCAGATTTTTTTTTTTTTCACCAGATTCTTCCTCTCGAAGACGACCACCGAGTGACCTTCCCCGGCGGCTCCAGTGCCGATGACTGCAACTTGGTGCGATCTGATTGGGTGATTGGGCTCGTACGAGATTCTCAAGTGCTCTTCTTCGGTTAGCAATGGAGAGACTTTGTAATTTGTATGTCCCACCAAGTCAACAACAAAGTCAACCCTTACAAGAACCTGTCTCTCTTTTGATTAATGTTCTTCTTCGGTTAGCCATGTAGAGACTTTATGATTAGTATGCCCCACTTTGTGATATGTGAATGTGATAATTATGGATTTAAATCAGCAAAATTTCCAAGAAAAGTCAGTGATTTGGACTCACTCGATCGAGAATTGTGGACGTGAAAGAAGGTCTTATCTTCTTCAATTATTCTCTGCATCCTCTCTAGTTTGCTCAGATCAGTATTTCAGATTTCTCCCTTTTTTTGTAAAATGGGGAATTTAATCTCTTGCTCGATACCCTGTGATGTGTGGATGAATAAAGTCTCTCAATGGGTAGACAAGAAAGTTGGTTACATTCACAATCTTGAGAAGAATCTCGCCACTCTGGAGGCTAACATGGCAGATCTCAAGGCGAAGCGGAATGATTTATTGAGAAAGGCCACAAGAGAGGAGGAGGATAGAGGTCGACAAAAGCTTGAAGAATTCCAGGTATGGCTTAGTAAAGTTGAGTTTTTGGAAAATAGAGTTGATGGTCTTCTTGATGCTAGAGGTGTTCAACTTCAAAGGCTATGTCTTTGTGGGTTTTGCTCTAAGAGTTTAAGATCTAGTTACCGTTATGGGAAAAAGGTTTTTTGTCGTTGACGGAGGTTGAGGAACTTCGAGTAGAGAATTTGGAGAGGTTTCTGGGCAAGCTCAAACATCCAAGGTGGAGGAAATACAAGTTCAACAGATAATTGTTGGTCAAAAAACAATGGTCGATGAGGCATGGAAACATCTCAAGGAAATAGAGTTGGTACCATGGGTATGTATGGAATGGGCGGAGTTGGGAAAACAACACTTCTCAAGCAAATCAACAATAAGTTCATGAAGAAAGGTGTGGATCTGATTTTGTGATTTGGGTTGTGGTGTCTAAAGAGTTACATGTTGAGAAGATTCAAAATGAATCGCTCAGAAAATTGGTCTTGATGGAGAGGATTGGAAACAAAAAGACAAGAGCCAAAAGACCGATGTTTTATTCAAATTCTTAAGGAAAAAGAGATTTGTGTTGTTTCTAGATGACATATGGGAGAAGGTGGATTTAACAGAGATTGGAGTCCCGTTTCCAGCACCAGAAAACCGATGCAAAGTAGCTTCACCACTCGTCGCCGAGACGTATGTAAGCCCATGGGGGTTGAAGACCCGATGGAAGTCAAATGCTTGGCGGAAAATGAAGCATTTGATTTGTTCCAAAAGAAGGTTGGGCAAGAAACATTAGGAAGTGATCAGGAGATCCCTGAGCTTGCAAGAATAGTTGCTAAAAAATGTGGTGGCCTACCATTGGCACTCAATGTCATAGGCGAGACCATGTCATGCAAGACAACGGTTCAAGAATGGCGCTAAAGATGTTTTGAGTTCGTACGCTACAGAGTTTTCTGGCATGGAAGATAAGATCCTTCTTCTTTTGAAGTATAGCTACGATAACCTTAAGGCTGAGGATGTCAAATCATGTTTGCTGTATTGTGCTTATTTCCAGAAGCTAACGAGATTTGTCAAGAGAAATTGATAGGCTACTGATATGCGAAGATATTATAGATGGAAGTAAAGGTATAGAAAGGGCTGTGAACAAGGGGTATGAGATAATTGGTGATCTTGTTCGTGCATCATTGTTGATGGAAGAGGCTGAGAAGGATGGAACAAGACGAGTGCGTATGCATGATGTTGTTCGCGAAATGGCCTTGTGGATTGCATCTGAATTGGGAAGAGAAAAGGAGGCTTTCATTGTGCATGCTGGTGTAGGGTTAAGTGAAATTCCAAAGGTTAGAATTGGAGCACTGTGAGAAGGATGTCACTGATGCAGAATAAGATTCACAATCTCGCTGGCAGTCCTGAATGTCTCCAACTAACAACTTTTCTCATGCAACGGGGAGATCTCGTAAATATCTCGAGTGAATTCTTCAAGTCCATGCGGAAGCTACTTGTGTTAGGATCTATCAGATAATGAACAGCTCACCAACTTGCCAGATGTATCTGATTTAGTTTCTTTGAAGTATCTCAACTTGTCATGGACTCGTATCCGTCATCTCCCTAAGGGTCTACAAGAGTTGAAAAAACTCATTCACTTGGATCTCGGGGACACAGATCAGCTTAGGAGTATTGATGGGATATCAAAACTGCATAATTTGAGGATGTTGAATTTAACTGTGTGTGGTTTTTCATGGGATCGCAACATAGTAGAAGAATTAGAAACCTTGATGCATTTAGAAACGTTAGGCATAGAACTCAACATTCATCCAGATCTGGAGCTATATTTGAACTCAACATTCATCCATATCTCGTGCTTGCTAGGAAGGTGCTAAACTCATGCTATCAAGGCTAAACTGTGTTAGAAAGACGTGAAGAAGAAGAAGAAGAAGTTAAGGAGGATTCTAATGCTAATGCAGCTCGTTGGAAGTTGAAGATGCCATTTTGTCTTTGATCCAAAGATAATCTCTCTCTCTGTTTTTTTTTTTTTTTTTTTTTTTTTCCTTATTTGCATCAACATTTATACAATGTTTACGTTTGAAGTTGATTGGATTGTTTTCCGCTGTGTAATATTTGATTAGCTGTGTAATATTTTCGTTTAATTTTAATAAAACCAGATTAGCTGTGTAATATTTTCGTTTGATTTTAAGTGCTACTATAGTCTATACTACTCAGGAGCTATTACTCACCATTGAATGCATCCACAGGTTAGTGTGACTAGTTTGATTGATGTATGTATCAGCTGGATTTGACCAAGAAGCCACATGAACTTCTTAGGCAAAGGAAACGGTTTTTTGTTTTTTAAAAGCGGAAGATGTCTCTTTGTATATATAAGAAGAGTGCATGGCAAGTTACGAACCCTAATTTTTATTTGACAAAAGATGAGGATGATGTCCAATCTTCCGCATGATTTGGAAGAGGAGATACTCTCTACGGTTCCGATACCTTTTCTGAGAGAGGTGAGGTCCACATGCAAAGGATGGAACGATTTAACCAAAGTTCACAGCTTTAGATAGAAGCAATTAAGTAAAGCACCCAAAGGGTTTCTGATGATTATGATTTATGGTCGTGTGGTTAGTTTAACAAGTATTAATCTTCATCGAATCCATAACCACGAAGACTCGGTTGTTCCATCTGCGAAGAAGATAGGTAACTTCTTTAATCAAGTCGTGATAAGTAACGTATTTCACTGAGACGCTTCTTTAATCAAGTCGTGATAAGTAACGTATTTCACTGAGACGGCTTATTGTTATGCCGCACAAGGGACTCCAAGCTTGTGGTATGGAACCAAGAAAAGAATTCTACATGTCGGATAACTACTCTATTGGATATGATCAGAGCAACAACAACTACAAAATTTTGAGGTTTTTGATTGGTTACTAACGAACGAATTATTAATTATCACATCTATAATTTTAAGTCCAATTTATGGAGGGTTGTTGGTGTCACTCCCGATAATTGGCATATAGATTATTATCAAGGCAGTATATCTTTGAAGGGAAATACGTACTTTCTTTCTCGGGGAAGATTAGAAGAGAAAGAAGTTTTTTTGCTCTGTTTTGATTTTACAAGAGAGAGATTTGGACCGCGTCTTTATCTACCGTTTGATGTTAGAAACGATATGCAGACTCTATCTTCTGTTAGAGAAGAGAAGATTTCAGTGATGCTTATGCGCAAGGATACAAATGTGATGGAGGTATGGATTACAGATAAGATCGAGCCTGATGCAGCATCTTGGAAGAAGTTCATGGTGGTAAAGGATCAACCAATCCTGTCTCGAATAATGAAACGATTTGGAAAAGGTTACTTGTATTGATTGTGTACAACATGTATATATACAAAGAGATCAATCCTTATCCTAATAAGTAGTCCAAATACAACTTGATAATAACAAATCTAATTCCCAATATTTATCCTTATCTCAATACCCTCCCTCAAGTTGGCGGTGAAACATCTTGAATCCCCAACTTGGACAATAAGTAAGTGAATGTGGGAGCCGGCAGTGACTTGGTAAGCAGATCGGCGGGTTGCTCGTCCGTGGTAATGTGTTCCGTGGTGATGAGTTTTTCTTCCACAGCATCACGTACAAGGTGGCAGTCATTCTCGATATGCTTGGTACGCTCGTGAAAGACCGGATTGGCAGCAATGTAGATGGCAGATTGGCTGTCGCAGAATAACTTCATTGGCATGGAATGAGACACGTCAAATGCAGTCAACAAACGTTTGATCCACTTGAGCTCACGCAAAGCAAAAGACATCGAACGATATTCAGCTTCAGCGGAAGACATGGAGACTGTTTTCTGCTTCTTCGTTTTCCAAGAAACCGGAGAAGCACCAAGAAGAACAATGTAAGCCCTCAAGGACTTGCGAGTCAGTGGACACGCATTCCAATCAGAGTCACAGTATGCAGTAACCCGTAAGTCAGAGTCTGAACGGAGAAGAACGCCTTGAGCTGGACAGCCCTTAAGATATCGTACAACACGGATAGCAGCGGACCAGTGAGCCTGAAGTGGTGTTTGCATAAACTGAGACAGAATGTGGACAGAGTAACACAGTTCCGGTCTCGTAAAAGTAAGGTAGATGAGACGACCAACGAGACGACGGTAACGTTGTGGATCGGCCAAAGGTTCGCCAGTAGCAAGAGAGAGCTTGTGATTAAGCTCCATAGGTGTCAAAGCAGGCTTGGAAGCAAGCAAGCCTGATTCAGCCAGTATATCCAGAGCATATTTGCGTTGGGACAAGAAGAAACCATCAGCATTGCGAGCAACTTCGATCCCGAGAAAGTATTTAAGTTTCCCCAAGTCCTTCATGTGAAAATATTCACTGAGATAAGCCTTGAACTTGTATATAGTAGACAGATCATTCCCAGCAACAATAAAATCATCAACATAGACCAGTATATGAAGAGCAATATTGTCGCGGATAAAACAGAAATGAGAATAATCCGCCTTGCTCTGTTTGAAACCATAAGTCTTCAATGCAGAATTGAGCTTAGCGAACCAGCACCGAGGAGCCTGTTTAAGGCCGTAGATAGACTTCTTCAAGAGACAGACCTTAGATGGATCAGATCCCTCGAAGCCAGGCGGAAGCTTCATGTAGACCTCCTCCTCCAAATCGCCATGGAGAAAAGCATTGTGAACGTCCATTTGGTGGACTTCCCAATTCTTTGCAGCAGCGATATTAAGTAGTATACGAACTGTAGAAGGCTTGGCAACAGGAGCAAAAGTATCTGTATAGTCAAGACCTTCCTTTTGTCGATTTCCAAGCGCCACCAAACGAGATTTATGACGAGCAATCATGCCATCCGAGTGGTGCTTTATCTTGAAAACCCATTTGCTCCCAATGGCTTTCTTCCCTGGTGGTAATGCAACAACAATCCACGTTTTATTGATCTCCAATGCACACACCTCCTCCTTCATTGATTCGCGCCATATCTTATCTCTAATAGCCTCATTGTATGTTGTTGGCTCAACCGCAGCAGTGATAGCCGCGATGAATGCTTTATGAGAAGGAGAGAAACTCGCATCAGATAAAACACTAGAGATAGGGTAGAGTGGTGTACCTGGAATCGAATCTGGAGAACCAAGAGAGGATGTAGATGAAGCGAGAGAGGGTGTGTCACGGAGAGTCGCGGTATTGGTAACAAAGTTCTTAAGAATAACTGATGGCTGTCGTTGACGATGACCCCTGCCGAGGAGTTGATGTAGTCCTGGAGATGAAGGTTCAGGAGTAGCATTAGACTCAGCTTCTATCGGAGTTACAGGGGAATTTGGAGAAGAAGTAACAGAGGCTGGTATAAGAGAATCAGCCGTGACGGTTGTATCAGTAGTAGTAGGTATTATAGGAGTAGCTTCAGCTGAGGGAATCGCAGGAGGAGCTGAATTCACCATCGTTGAAGGAGTAGATAAAGAAGGAAGTAACCAATCGTCGACGCCAACATCGGGTTGATATACAGGGTGAGAAACATACTCAGTATCAGGAATTCCTGGAAACTCGTCTTCAAGGAAGATAACATCTCGGCTTGTAAAAAATTCATTCCTTTCAAGATCATAGAGACGCCAGCCTTTCTTGCCAAAGGGGTAACCGACGAAGAGACACTTCCTGCTGCGATCGCCAAACTTATCCTTGTCTCTTCCGCGTCGATGTGCATAACTAAGGCAACCAAAGACTCGCAGTAAATCATACTTAGGTGGTGTTCCATGTAGTAACTCGTAAGGGGTTTTACCGTCAAGAACAGAGGATGGAGTGCGATTGATGATGTGAGCGGCAGTGAGGATGCTTTCTCCCCAGAAGGTAACCGGTAAACGAGCTTGGAAAAGACAAGCACGAGCAACATTGAGAATGTGCCTGTGTTTCCTTTCCACACGACCGTTCTGTTGAGGCGTATCGACACACGAAGTTTGGTGATCAATACCCTGTTCACGAAAGAAGGTAGAAAGCACCATAAACTTTGTTCCATTATCACTACGTACTCGTTTAACTGGTTTCCCGAACTGTCTACTACTCATGGCGCAAAAGTTCTGTATGAGACCCTTAGTTTCTGATTTCTCAAGCATCAAGAAAGTCCAAACAGATCGTGAGTAGTCGTCAACAATGGTTAGAAAATATGCAGCACCACAAGAAGAAAGCGTACAATAGGGACCCCAAACATCACAATGGATTAAGTCAAAAGGAGCACTCGTATTATTAAGACTATCTTGAAAAACACCACGCGTTTGTTTAGCGCGAAAACAGATGTCACACGAATTCACATGACTGAAATCAAACTTAAAACTATTGAACACGGGTAAAGCCGATAACACTTTGTAGGAGGGATGACCAAGTCTGCGATGCCAAAGCACAGAAGGAGATGTCTTGTCCTTTGTAGCATGATGGGACCGCGCGACCGTGACTCCCGTAAAATAGTAGACCCCCTCTCTCTCTTCACCTGCTCCAATCAGGGTCCTCGAGAAACGATCATGTACAACACATAGAGTATCAGTAAAGATAGCAATGCATCCTGTTTGTTTCAGGAGCTTAGAAACAGAAATCAAGGTGCAGTTGAAATCTGGTATGTAAAGAACATCTCGTAGAAAGTAATCATCATTGAGAGACAAGGTTCCGAGTTTGATCGCACGAGAAGTGTTTCCATCCGGAAACAAAACCGCAGAGGGAACGATGTCTCGTACATCTCGTAAAAGAGATAAATCACCCGTCATATGGTGTGATGCTCCTGTATCGATAATAACATCAGTGAGTTTAGTTTTACCAGACAGACGATCAATGGATAACTGGGTTTGTTGGTTCTGAAGGAGGCTGATCAAGGCGGCAATTTGATCTGAGGCATGTGAAGGAGCAACGTTGGTGATGGAGGTATCGGTGCCGTGGAGAGGAGCTGTACGGGTAGTGTTAGCTCTGCCTCGGCCACGACCTGCCGAAGTAGTTGTGCGGCCTCCACGACCACGCTGGGAAGGAGCGCCTCGTCCTTGTGCAGCTTGCTGTTCGAGAAACCACTCAGGGTATCCATGAAGAGCGAAACACTCGGAAACATCATGTCCTTTACGATTGCAGTGGGTGCAAGAACGTGCAGGATCACGACTACGAAAAGCAGCTGCAGCAGATGGAGTAGATGAATGTGGTGACTCCGATTTGACAGAGAAACCAACAGCCTCGTTTTTGATATCCTTGGAGCGCATCGTGAGAAGATGTTGCTCTTCTCGTACAATACGAGAGTAAACAGAGTTCAAATCCGGAAGTGGGTCTTCGTCTATGATTTGAGATCGAATCGAGCTGAAACGAGCTTCATCGAGTCCAAAAAGAAATTTGTGAACCCGAGCCTCCTCTCGTTCTCTTTCTAGATCAACAGATGCATCGCAAGAACAAGACCGAGAGGTTTGGAAGTTCTGAAGCTCTTCCCATAGCTTAGAAAGACGACCGTAGTACTCTAGAACTGGTTGTCCGTTCTGTCTGCAGTTGGTGATATCATCAGTAAGGAGATGTCTGTGGACACTGTTGTTGACGGAAAACCGACGTTGAAGAGCGTTCCAGAGCTTGTGTGCATCAGGAACATGAGAAACAGTAGATCTGATCGTGGGATCGATGGATGTACGTATCCATCCGACAATCATGGAGTTAGTAGCAGTCCAACGAGCAAGATCAGGATTCGTCTCTGGTTTCACAATAGTACCATCGATGAATCCGATCTTTTGTTTAGCTTGTAGAGAATTCCAAAGCTTAGTAGCCCATTCGGAGTAGTTATCACCACGGAGAAGAACCGGAGTGATCAGAGTACCCGGGTTATTCGAAGGATAAAGTGTGTAAGCAGGATCCGAGATGGAGGAGTCGGAATAATAGTAGACATAGCTGAGGAACTTGTAGAAGAGAATGTAGAAGACATAGTAGAAGACATTGTAGAAGAGATTGTAGAAGATTCACTCGCCGACATGTTTTCGAGTTAACGGGAAAACAGAGAACGGAGAGTATATGAGAAAAGAAAAAATCGCTCAGGTGAGGAAAACTTGCTCTGATACCATGAAACGTTTTGGAAAAGGTTGCTTGTATTGATTGTGTACAACATGTATATATACAAAAAGAGATCAATCCTTATCCTAATAAGTAGTCCTAATCCAAATACAACTTGATAATAACAAATCTAATTCCCAATATTTATCCTTATCTCAATAAATAAAAAACATTACAGTTCAAAGTGGGAGTTTCTTTATTGATGAAGACAAGAAAGTCGTAGTGGTTTGGGTTATAACCGACAACAGAGCTTACATGGTTAAAGAGAATGGATACTTCAAAGAAATAATTGTTCTCAGGGAATCTAATCATCTGCCACTTATGTGCTCTTATGCTCCGAGTTCGGTGCAGATCCAGCAAGGCCCAGTACGTGCATGTGGCAAAAGGAAAGAACGAGATTATATGTAATATTTTTCAAAAAAAACTTGTTTGTTTCTTGCATGGATCTTCTTTTCATTCATTTTTGTTTTTTTTAATTCACACCGTGTTTCCTATGTCCCTTTTGATCAAAAACTAAACTGTGGCATTGAGAGAAGTGGGCGTGTCTCTCAAGTTCTCTTATATGATTAATACCTAATTAAATTGTCTGTGGACAATAACATTTTGATGCATCACTCAAGAAGGTTGTTGAGCATGTGCATGTGCATATTCTTTGTTGATAGTAGCAGTTTTGGATGTATCGCAGAATCAAAATCTCTCTGAATTACAGGAGAAATAATGCTTTTAGCTGTATTGTTATTTATGATATGTGAATAAATGCGACCCTGATCTTAAAATGTTTCAAGAATATATACGCTAATTATTATGACTTTGCATCTCCTTCCTTGGCCAAGAAGTTATCCCTACGTCGGAAACCTCATCAGATCTCTGTATTCGAAGATGTCGGGTCAGGTCGGGTCAACGCTTAACGGATCCAGGTTGTGATGCAGCGCATCTTCACTCGATCATGTCTCCATGATCTTCACCGTGATGTTGCCTTTTATTTGTTATTGGGCTTTTCTTTCATTTGGGCTTTCGACTTTGTTTCTTAACTACTTTAGGGTTTTCGTTTAAGTATATAAGTTAGCCACTAGGTTCTATTGTAAGACAGCTTTTGATTATTGAATAAACATAGAACTTTTCAGTTCATCTTATCCTTGTTATCGGTATTCTTTGAGAATCAACGATTATCAAGAACCCTCGTTTGAACGGCTATTCTTGGGAATCAACGATCATCGAGTTTATCTAGCTTCCGCTCTCCATCAGTTGGTACCAGAGACAGCACTTTGGTTTCTCAATCAAGGTTCGGTCCTTTTATCATGCCGCCAAGACATAAACTACATCGATAGAGGAACAAGCAAGTTATTGCTTTGCGAGAAGCTCTAGCGGAGTTTCAACAAACTATGTGTGACGTGTTGCGAGAGTCCATGGTAAGTGCCCTAGACGCGTTAATCTTGGCTAACCAACACCCGCCAATTTTTTTCCAAGGGGATGATTCAATCTTTGACGAAGAGGTTGAAGAAATTGACGACGAGAACCATTATCAAGCTGTAGGAGATCTCTACAACGAGTTTTATGGAGCTCCAATCTACGATGTCTATGATGAGGCAGATCCGATCTTCCGCCTTTGTGATTCTGATGGTGCTAATCAGATTTGTCATGACCGTGATGATGCAAATCCAATCTTTGATGTTTATGATGAAGAGTATATCAAGTTCTTAGGAATTCAAAGAAAGGAAGACGTAAAACTTGGACCAGCAGAATATGTTCAAGTAATAAATAAACTTGGTGAGGAGGACGAAGATACGAATGTAGGTCAAGGGAAGCAATATATTAATTCTGCTTTATGCAAGACTGATGGGATCGTATTTTCATCTTATCATGAAGACATGGTGAATCACATAGCTAAAAGACATCAAGGTAATTTTTTTTAATCTTAATCAGTATCATCGACAGATCAATGGCCAACCACCAGATCGTGAACCGCCAGATCATTATCAACGTGATAATCCTTTTCACCTCAAAAAGAAAAATCTCTACCACAAGGTTTATGGTGATCCGTTTATTGGTGTCAATAGAGATGATCCGATTGGTACTGTTTGTAATGATGAATTCACGGTTAAGGGCTATGATGATTCATCGAAATGTGACAAAATCCAAGTTACTAATGAGAAGCTAAGGCTCGTTTCACTGATGAGTACACATGTCCATACTTCGGATTTTGGTTTGGGTTACACAAATTTTGTCACAATGAGTGGAGTAGATGTTCTTGTATTAGATCACTCGATTGTGGACAGGGGTTCAAGCAGAGAGTCGCCGTTTTGCTCTAGCTATATTTTTCACATTGGTTTTGACGGCTCTGGTTTTCAGCTTATTCTCGCATGGTTAATACTAGACGACTTTGATGTTGGTCGTTATGTACGACACGAGCTGGTCTCGCAATGGTTACATTCACGGACAAGATGGGATAGTTCTATTTGCTGGCTTGTTTTGAAGGTGGTAATTGATTTCTCCGATGCCGTACTCATTAATGGAGCTTTCTCAAGGATATCATATTTACACTACTACCAATTTCTTCGAAGCACCCAACGTGAAAGTCTTTCTGTGGAGCCAGATAAAGATTTTCTCTTGCATGACATGAAATCTTATGTGGATACTTCAGGGAATTTAGCCAACGTGAACACTATATGCTCGACTTGTTTTGTGGAACACACAAATACTTTGAAAGATCTCTTAATACTTGCCGCTATGTTGAATGTGCCGTATCTACTACATCTGCGCATGTTTGGTCTCATGCATGATTACATTTGTTTTGGGGGAAAATGGAAGCACAAGATCATAGTCAAGTGGGTTTTTCTTATGCGTAGTGTGGTGTTTTCCGTGGAGTTTTCAATTCACAGTGACATTGGTGAAGCACCGCTTGTGAAAGTCCCACAAACTACTTGTTTGTTCTCTCTTTTCTGGTTCTTAATGTCTCAAGGTGCCGCTACCATGGCTAGTAAAGAGGAGCTCAAGTTTTTGTGGCCACCATGGAATCCCAAAGCTTTTGGGCTTCTCCTTTTCACGTCTACGATCATGCCAATTGTGTTCTTTCCGACCGTTTTGTGGCTTTGTGGGTTGCAATGTGGAAATTTAACGTGGAAAATGGCTGTTTTGTGTCACACAATATGGGTTTATCAAGACACGTCTAATACATATATTCAATGGCGTGAGGTTATCTGTCAATCACCCAAGTTATTGTTTTACGATAGCTCTGTTTTTCATGTCTGTTGCAACACCTCTATTTTGCTATTACCACCATGCAATGGATTGTCCATTATCACGTGGGAATTAATAAAGCAAATTGTTGCTTTACAAGCCACATGGCAGGAAAATCTTTATGTGTTGGCAACGGTGGATCTCTTTGGGAACATAATGAGATACACGTGCGTTGAGTGGGATCTAAATTGTGAAGATGTGACTTCTTATGATCATTGTCTTTTCTTGGAGCTTTTTGACTTGAAGCTTACGGAAGTCTGGAGTTCGCATTATTCTTTACCTTACTCTTCTCATCATGGATTTCAGCTGGAATATCTTGTAGTCGACGACATGGTAATTTGCTGGAAAGAGTTTTCCTTTAAGCGTCCGCTTTGGGATCAAAACATGATGTTTTCCCTGCCTCCAAGGTTCACAACGGTGCAGTGGAGATTCTTCTTTCTCACTCCGTTACGACGTGGCTTCTACTATGACGTTTATAACAGAGTATATGGAGCTATGCGTACGACTCGATTTAGACTCTCTTATGACATCGCAAGGGGTTTGAGGCGAGTGGACGTTGCTTTTGGGTCACATGAGTATGATATTCACGTTTCAGACCAAACGAACAACATGCATCTTCTCGCATGGATAATTTCTGTGAACGTTGAGGTTTGTAGTTACATTTGGCACTCGCTGGTTACAAAGTGGTTTCGTCATTGGATGCGACCATGTAGTTGTATTCGTCGGCTTGTTCTGAAGATCCTAGGGAAACTCAGTTTTGGAGATTTACAAGAGCTTTTGTTTTGTTCTACTAGGCCGTCCCAATATCAGTTACCATATGAAGCTTCTTTAAAGAGAAAGAGCAATGTTCATATCTCACCAGTGGGATTCTCTTACGATGTTACGAAAGTTCATAGTAAGGAGGCGTTACATTTGAGCTTAATCGAGGTGCTTGAGCAATCAGCGTTCTCAAACGTGGACAAGGGATGTATACGTGACCAGCCGAAGCCAATATGGGTGGTTTTGTGGTGTTTTGTGGCTGATTTTGCACCAAGCAAACTAGGTTTTATTGTCTTCGTCATTGTGAAGGACTTGTCATGCGAATCACGCAGTTGGAGTTCTTTGTTGACATTTCTACAACTATTGGTGGAATATACAGTTTTAGTCTCCAAAATGAGGATTGGTGTTCACTTCCCAACACTCAATGTCCCAAGCTACGTTACCGTTAGTGTAACAACATCTGTGCGTGTGTATTTGATCTGCTATTGTTGGTGGAGTAATTCCGCTTGCCTGCTTTGACAATGATCCAGATTCGAGGACGAATCTTTTCTTACCCCGGGGGACCTGATGCAGCGCATCTTCACTCGATCATGTCTCCATGATCTTCACCGTGATGTTGCCTTTTATTTGTTATTGGGCTTTTCTTTCATTTGGGCTTTCGACT